GAGTCCAGAGGTGATGAGGGGTGTCGGCCGGTGTCAGCGTGAGAATAACTTCGAATTCGATGTTAGATTGAAGGAATACAACTGCAAGGTTGTTCTTTTTGTCCCAGTCGCTGATTTCTTCGGCGTTGTCGGAGGTTTCTTCTTCGTCTTCTTCAGCCTCAGCTACGCTTCCTGATGCTTGTGGTGCCGTGGTAGGTACAGTAGTGGTGGTGGTTGTCAACACGGGACGCTTGCTCGAACCATTGACCAAGTTCCACAGATCGTGAACTTTTAAGATGCGGGTAGCAAGGTCTCTCCATACAGTGTAATGGCCTTGACCATCCAGCTTGCATGGGAGTGCGGGAATTTTGATGCTCCTCTCAGACATGATTGAAAGTGAAACGAGAAAGTGTACTTTGTGGTAAAAATGGTGAAGAGTGTATAAGCGTGAGTGGTCTCCGGGCTCATAACCTAGAGAAAGTATGTAGGAGAAGTAAAGTAATTGATCGCGTTGATTATTCTAGTTAAGGGGGAATGCCCCGTATTTATACTAATGAAAGGTAGTACAAAAGAAATACAATGAGTCATAGACGTGTGAGTGAATAGAATGACTAATAGGAAAGTGAGTCATACGCCGATGACAAATACTATAATGAAATGATGAGAATCCTCCAGAACTATGAAACGTGCCGAGCGCCCTATTTCAAGATTCCTGGCTTTCCTTTCCGCTGTGTTGAGGGTTGTTTTGAGCTTCTTCAACTCCGGGGTCCAACATTTTTTTGATTTGATGTGTCTTTGGCTCCATGGGGTGACTTGATCTGTTAGGTTATCTATGTGTTCGAGTATGAAGTCGACCGATTGCTTTGTATGACCCTTGGATTCCCATGCCTCGGGGGGGAATTGGAGTCCTGAGATGTTTTCTTCCAGTTTTTCCCAGTTCGTTCGGTGTCATAGTCTTCTGGGTATGTGGGGGGGTTTTTCTATCCGTAATTGTACTATGGTTTTCCCGTGATCGGAGCCTGCGCCATGGCGGTCGATGTTCCAGCGGACATCGTGGTCCAAGATAGGTCCTTTGATCAGGGTCAGGTCGAGGATGGTTGGTCTGTTGTTGTTTCTGGGAAAGTGTGTGAATTCGCCCGGTTCGTTGAGTAGGGATAGCTTTTGTCGATCGATCCCTTTTTTGAGCTTCCTGGACCCGGGTTTGTCTGCTCTGATTGTGTTGGTGTAGTCGTGGGATCTGTGTCCATACCAGAGTTGGTGGTGGCTATTAAAGTCTCCCATGACGAGGCAGTTTCGGATGGTGATTATCTGGCGGGAGATTTATGTGAAGGGTTCGTTTCGTCCTGGTGAGTAAATGTTGAGGATTTGTGTTTTTTGGTTCTGGATTTCCACCGTGACGGAGACGATGAAGTTGTTGTGCGTGTAGTGGTGTTTTGGTATTAGGTTGGCGTGTTTTCTGATGTATGTGGCGGCTTTAGTACCCTTGTTGCTGGCTGTAAATAGATAGAAAAGGGGGGATTCCGGTGGGTGGCCGTCCTTATTGTTCCATGGTTCCTGTAACAAAAGAAAAAGTATGTTGTGGTCCTGTTCTGCTTCCTCCACTACTGACTTTGTTGTGAGCTCGTTTTTCGCACAGTTCAGTTGCTGTGCGATAGCCGTGGTTCTTTTGGTGTGACTCATTGGGTGTTATCCATGGCTGCATCTTCTTGTGGGGGGTCTTGTGCCGGGATAACTACGGGAATTGGTAGCTGGCTTGGGTTTGTGTCTGGTCCGAGTCTGTTTGTGATTCGGACTTTGGTTCGTTCTGGGTAGTTGGCGTCTGTTGCTTTGTGGGGGCCTTGCAGTGATGGCATCGGATAGGTGTTTGTGAGCATCTGAGACCTCCGGCGCATTCTGTATATGGGTGGTCTTTGGTTTGGTGTTCCTCGGCACAGTGTCCGCATCTTCCGCTGTTGGAGCAGCGTTCCTGTCTATGGCCGTATTCAACGCATTTGGCACACTGGGTCTCTGGGTTTGCTGGGAGGTAACTGTCGATTTTGCAGTTCCTGTCGAAGAGGGTAAGGTATCGGAGGCCGAGGTTTTCTTTGGTGAATTGTCCAGGGAGGGCAATGATCATGGAAGAGTGTGACTTTCCGATTCGGGCCTCTGGTTTTGATAGCCATCTCGGGATTTGTGCCAGTTCAAAAGTGTTGCCGTAGTTGTTTCTAATTTCCGATGCTAGACATTGTCCTGCGTCGAAGGCTTCGCGTATGGAGGTGGGGATGCCATGGAGGATGAATTTTGACCATCTGGAGTTAATTCGGATATCGACGAAAGGTACCTTAAATTCGTTCAAGGCAGTTTCGATTTCCTTTTTGTATTCAAGGACCTTTGTTGCTGGGGTTGCGAACTTTGATTCCAGGATTATGTTATTCTTGGTTGTTTTCCGGGCGGCGATTAGTTGGCAATCAGGGTCCTGGATTTTTTCATTGATCTTGGCTCTGATGTCCGATGGGGTGACTAGGAGTTCCTTATTGGTTTCGATCACAATTCCCCGGTTGAGTTTGGTGATTTCCGGTTTGAACAGGGGGTCTGCTTTGGTTTTGGTTTTGCTCTTGTTCGTGACAGTCGTGAATTCAGGATTTGTGTTTCCTGCCGCAGCGGACGCGTAGGATTTTGGTGCCGGTGGAGCCAGTGTTTCCTTAGCTTTCCCTTTTGGCTGCTGGGCATGGTTGGGGTAGTTGGGGTTGTTGGCGGGTGTGGTGGGGGCGGGGGCGGTGGTGGCAGCAGCGACGGCGGCAATTCCGGAGGTTCTTCCTTCAGTGATTGCTTGGTTGCTGGGCCTGTTAACAGAGAGGTTGGTGAGCTGTTGTTGGAGGCGGTGGAGTTTTTCCGATGTTTTGTCCTGGTTCTTTGTCATTTCAAACATTTGTTTGGCCAGGATGTCGACGGTATGTTTGAGGGAATCGTTTTGGGTGGATAGGACTTCAATGGTGACTTTTAGGTCCCTGTTGATTTGTTCGGTCGTTTGGTTGAGGGGTTCGAGTGCTACGGTGAGGGCGTTTCTAACCACCCAAGAAATGTAGTTCAAGTCCATTCTGGCCTGGGTTCCTTCGGGAACAATGCTGGGGTGGATGTAGTCGTATTTTGGGGCGTATGGTTCGTTATATTGAGTATGTTCGGCGAAGATGGAGAAAGGTTCGTTTCCGAATTGGGTCTGTTCTACTGTGGTGGATTGTGTTTGTTGGGTCGATTGGGTATTGGGGAAGCGGGGGGTGCCGGGGTTCCTGGAGGGGGGCCCCCTGCGAACCAGGAGCTCAACGAGGCTTGCTGGGACATCACTGATGTCCCGTATCGGATTGGGTTAGGGAAGACTTCTGATAGAGTCCTCTTTCTGCCCGCAATGGTTGGTGGGTTGGGTGGGTTTGGTGAGGCCAGGTTGTTGTTTTTCGCTACGGTCTCGAGGCTTAAGCGAGGATCGAGGGGTGAGGAGATCACAACTCAGGGACTAGAGCGTGAATAACTTCGCGTACGAACAGATGTGCGATAAGATACCAATAGATGACGCGGTCTATTGACATACAGGATCGTGTTCGAGTAAAAGTTTTATCGGGAATGCAGGCCAAAAGTTGTTGTTTGTTCGAAAGTTTTGGTGTTGGGAGGAGTACAGGAGACGTTGCGTGAGGAAAGAAGGAGAGAAAGGAAAACAGGAACGAAGCGAGAGAGAACCCCCTTATTATACCCAAGGAAATCCTGCGATGACTAACCCCCAATTACTCACACCACGCAACCGAACGGAAACCCAAAGAACACGATAGAAACTTCCTGACTAATCCAACTCCTCGTAACCCAACGACTCCACCAACCGATCCGTGAAAGCTATGCGGGGGCGCTTTTCTATCTGGGTTATCTCCGGGTGCATTATCTTATCCTATTATCATTGTATTAGTTAGTATTAGAAAGCGGGCCTTGGCATAGGTTCCAACATGTATAAATAGGGCTGGATTCTGCGAAGACTTGAGGGTATCATCAACCATCAAGTCAAGGGAATCCGGTTTACAATATCATCAGTTTAAACGCTACAGAATTATCGCTTAGCACTGGCCATTTCCCCAAACAGCCAGGCATCTACTACAATACTTCAAGGGGACTAATCCCAACCGGTCCCTCACCTACATCTCATCTGCAAAAGGGTTTCAAAAATAGCAAGACCTCCGCTTAGACTGAAAAAAAACATTAAGGGTGACAATCTCCTATGAGCGATAAATCAGAAAGATTCAACTCCACCCGAGGTAAGATAGTTAGGAGACAGACCAGTAACATTGACAATGCCTGTCTTATTGCCCTAGTAGTTGATTCCTCAATTATCCATCAAGAGTGAACCCAAATAGAATTCGTCCTCACTCCTCTGACGAATGAGGAACACAGGTTCATTCCTGGAACACCAAATGACATAGTCATAACTCGAGAGTCCGAATTCCTATATCGGGCAGTGGACGGGCGTAGTCGCTCCGCCTTGGCTTAGTCACCTCTGAGTCACCATGACGAGCAGGTGACTCAACCGTTAAGCAGTGATCCCTCCCTAACTTCGGCAAGCTTCTAGACGCCGATATATGGGGAATATGACCTAACAAAGCATATATATTTTCCTATATGGAATAAAGAATGCTACTATCGTGACCTTTCATTTGATTTCGTCGATTTCGCCTCGAAATTAAGGAAAGGGAGACGTCAACGCCGCGAGGGCTCTTGGGGAGTAGGAGTACGGTATATGAGCCGTGACTTGATCAATTGATTATCGATACTAATTGAGCTTCAGGGTGCTGCTAAGCGCAGCGCAGTTCCAGCACCGAGCGTACAGGTACATATGACGGGCGCTTAGTCATCCCCCCACCACCCACAGCGTCGACCAGGAAGCCGAAAGCATTGCAACCTCGCGTAATTTAGGCCTCCAACCACCCATATGCATGACAACCACGCTTTGAGCATTGAACCTTCACGCCCCTCCACTACGCACTGTTCCTCCACAACCCTACATAATCATGACACTAGCGTATTCCCCCCCCCCCAACTCCCTCACCTATCCACAAGCATAACTAACTCCCCCATCCCCCTTTAGCTGCAAAGCAGCCGACCTGCTCTCCCTCGCCACCCATGCGCTAAACCACCTCATGTCCGGCCAGGAAGTCCTTCGCTCTGCGGATGAGCGCAAGTCCGCCCTGACGCAGCTCGCCTTGACAGTGCAGGCCGCGGCAAAGCTCGCTGATGCCGCGTGCGCGGAGGTGCTGGCGGCGCGGGGCGGGGCGGGAACTGTGCGGGGTGGTGCCGAAGCTTTGACGGAGAGGATTAAGGCCGAGACGGGGAAGCTAAACGCCGAAGCAGAGAAGATAGGGAAGGAGGCGGAGAAGGCGGGTAAGGAGGCAGAGAGGGCGGTGGCTGAGACGGAGCGGCTGAAGGCGGAGGCAATGATGGTGCGGAGTGAGAAGATGAAGATCGATGCTGAGACGGAGAGGGTTAAGGCGGAGACGCAGCGGATGAAAGTGGAGGCGGAGAGACCGGTGCAGAGGACGGAAAAGGCAGAGGCCAGGGAAAACATCAAGAGGCTAAGAGGCGAGGACGAGCGGAACAAAGTAGAGGTGGAGACGATTGGTGAGGAGGTTGAGAGCCCAGTGCAGGTGCAGGAGTTGGACGAGGTGAAGACCGGGGATTACATGGAGAGGGTGGAGGCTGAGCTTGCGCGGAAGAAGCAGGAGGCGGAGAGGGGGGATATGATCGCGTGAAGTCGGCGCAGCTGATGCAGGAGATTGAGGCACTGAGGCTCGAAGCGCACAGGGAGAGGGTGGGGAGGAGGATACGGCAATACAGGGGACGAGACGGTATTTGAAAGGGTGTCTTGGAGGGTTAGGTGGTGGGGTTGGTTGGTGGGCTATATTTCGAAATTTTCCTCACAGGGGTTATTGTGTTAATTTTTGGAAGATTCATCAAGCTTTTGCAGTGATTCTAACACCGTTTCCAACAAGTGTAACCGGTTCTTACTTTCAGCAAAACTGAACTAAACTTAGTAGAAATGGGCGACAACTCAACCGACCGAATAAGAACTAGTTTATAGTGTGGAACCGTTCTAAGGTCGTTGCACTAGTCTAGAAGGAACTCTGCACTAAAAGTGTTATGGGTTAGGGTTGATACTGAAGAGGTGTTCGTACTTTTTATTAGGAGTTCCGCCTGCGTATAAAATCCGTTTGACCCGAGGGACCAACTGAACCGAACCAGGCAGTGAATAGGAGAAACTGAACTGAACTACTTTCTTAAACGGTTCTAGAAAATTGATTTGAACTAAACCGAAGAACCGTTGGAAACAGTGGAACTTCTGTACCTATCACGGTCGGTTAGTCATCACTGAGAACGGCTGAAGGGGAAAGCGCGTGATTTAGGCCTCCAATCAACCACGTAAGCAACTACATATGCATGACAACCACCCTTTCAACCTCGAAGCTTCGACCTCCTCCACCGCTCATAGCCCCTCCATCGACCACAGCTCTTCCAAACTACCGAAAATGACACTCGCGTACGCACCCTCTTCCCCCCCCCCCCCCCCCACTACCCAGCCAACCGTCCCCCAAAACCATAGCTAACCCCTCCCAGCTTCAAAACAGCCGACATTCTCCACCTCGCCGCCCAAGCGCTAACCCACCTCATGTCCGGCCAGCACGCGCTCCATTCCCCCGACGATAGCAAGTCCGCGCTGCAGCAGCTGGCAGTGACAGTGCAGGCGGCAGCGAAGCTCGCCGAGCTTGCGCACCCGGAGGTGTTGACGGCGCTGGGCGGGGTACCAGCCGTGTGGAGTGATCATGAAGTGCTTATGGAGAGAATTAGAGCGGAAAGGGAGATGGTGGGGATGAAGGCGGAGGCGGAAAAGGTGGGGAGCGAGGTGCAGGAGAAGGAAGGAATCAACGCGGAAACCAAGAAGTGCAGAATGGAGGGTGAGGAAGGAATACGAGAGGCGGAGAAGCTAGACGCCCCAGCGGGGGAGGTGTGGAGGAAGACGGAGCGGGCAATGGCCGAGGCGGACGCAGAGAAAGTGGGCAAGGAGACGTTGCAGGCAGCGCAGGTGACTGAGAGGACCAGGGTCGAGGTGGTGAAGGTGGTGAGGGAGAGGGAGAAGATAATGGCGGAAAGGGAGAGGGTGGGAAAGGAAGTTGAGTGGTCTGTTGCAGAGACGGGGAGGCTGAACGCCGAGGCGGGGAAGGTGGCTAGGGAGACGGAGAGGGCGAGGGCGGAGATGGAGAGGTTCAAGGCGGAGACGGAGAGGCTGAAGGCGGAGACTATGGTCGCGCGGAGTCAGAAGCTGAGGATTGATGCGGAGACGGAGAGGGCAAAGGCGGAACTCGAGCGGACGAAGGTAGAGACGGCAGGGGACGATGAGAAGGCTGGTAAGGAGGCTGAGGGGGCGACGGCAGAGACGGAGCGGCTGAAGGCAGAAGCGATGATGGCGCGGAGTGAGGAGATGAAGCTCGATGCTGAGACGGAGAGGGTGAAGGCGGAGACGGAGCGGACGAGGGGGGAGGAGGGCCAGAAGAGCTTAGAGGCAGAGTCGGAGCTGAAGAAGCTTGGGATGGAGAGATCAGTGCAGGAGACGGAAAGACCAGAGCCCGGAAACAACACAGGAGGGCCACAGGCGGCGGGGGCGGTGCGTAAAGAAGTTGATAAGTCGGTGCCAGTGCAGGAGGTGGAAGAGTCAAAGATCGTGGATTATCTGGATCAGGTGGAGGCAGATATCGCGCGGAAGCAGAACGAGCTCAAGGTTCATAGGGCGAATTTTGATACCACGAATGTAAAACGACTGACGGCGGAGATTGCAAGTCTGACGTTGGAGGCGCGCAGGGAGAGGTCCTGGAGGAGGATGTGGGGTACTTCATGGAGTGTCTTGAAAACTTGAGGGGAGGGGTTGGTTCGTAGTTTGTATTCCAGGGGTTTTCTCGCGAGCGAGGGGGGCTGTTCTTTCTGTTCGGGAATCACCCAGCTGTTTGAGTACTGAACACATGCACCCGGTGGGAAACGTGACTGAACACCTCTCGCGCATGAGACCCAGGCCCCAATGACATTTAAAGAGCAAACTGTAACTTGAAAATGAGAAAGAGACTTGTAGATAATAGAGTAACCTCTGAAGAGTATATTCTGACCCAGTCTTTGACGGGTCTTATCCAAGACGTCCTGGGCGGGTATGTACCAGTCATTGATATCCTTAGGTAGCAGATTGAGATCAGATGTTCCTGTATGGGGTGAGCTAAGTATACTAACATGGACGTCCATGGTTGTTACCAGGAAGTCCTAGTCGAGGCAGAGACACAGAAGTTGCAACGCTCAGCTGACCTCCCATCTCATGCTACATCACGCGCCAAATATCACTGTGCGGTAAACTTAAAATCTCAGAAGTGATCTCAGCCAGGTTCCGGCATTATCACATCGTCAGGAGCTGCAACATCACCTGTACATTGGAAGCTTCTATAATAGTCTTAAAGCTCCATTTCCTCCGAGCCCTGGACAAGATTCGTTCTCTGTACTGCCTGGGGATATCCTTGACTGGCGCAGCAGGTGTGTACCAACTAGAAAATTCTTGAAGCTGTTCTGCTTGTGGCCCGAAGCCGCTCGTGGGCCAACGCCATCTGCTCCCGCAACCGCAGGCGCATCCTAGTTATTATAAATAATAAGATAGACATGCAGGTAAATATGACGACCGCTTAGTCATCCTCACAGAACTCGGTGCTGAAGCGTCAACCATACAAAGCGTTGCAACCTCACGTAATTTAGGCCTCCAACCAACCATATACTTATTTAGGTCGCGAAGCATGTACCACAACCATACCTATCACCTAGAAGCTTCAAGATTCTCCAAACTACCGAACATGACACTCGCGTACGCATTCCCTTCCACCCACCCCCCACCCCCCACCCCCAACTCCCTCTACTTTCCTCCACTTACCTCCCACACCAACCACAGCTAACTCCCTCGCAGGTGCAAAACAGCCGACCTCCTCACCCTCACCACCCACTCCCTAAACCGCGTAACCTCGTTCGGCCCATACCATCTGCTGTCCGCCGACGATCGCAAGTCCGCCCTGCAGCAGCTCTCAATGACAGTACAGGCGGCGGCTAAGCTCGCCGAGCTTGCGCAGCCGGAGGTGCTAGGCCGTCATACGGAGCACGTTAGGGTTAAGGTGGAAACCGAACGGGCGGGGGCGGGAGGGGGGGCGCTGGGCAAGGATGAAGATAGCCCGGTGGGGGAGGGCGAGGACCTGGAACTAGATGATTCGTCCATTGAGATCAAAGATGCCTCGGCATACGGTGGAGGCGTGTATGGTAGGCAATGATTGTAAGAAGCTGGCCTAGATACTGTAGGAAATTGACGAGCTGGAGGCGCGCAGGGAGACGGGAGGGAGGGTGATGCGGGAGTGGAAGGAACAGGAAGGTGTTTGGTTTGATTCATGAGTTTCATTTCGAGCTTTTTGTCGCGAGGGGGTGGGGGGGTATTGTTTCAATGTGGAAAAAACTTACCTGGTTTTTAACTAATGAGTACACCCACGCACATAAGGAAAGTAATGAAGGCGGTGCCCGCGTGTAACCCTAGCCCTAGGTCTAGCGAAAATGAAACATCTAGGAATGGCGGGAATTACTTTACCTACAAAATGAGAAAGAGAGACGGCCTCCAAAGTGTATTCACTACTGTGCTTGGTGCCGCCCTCCTCAGCGTGCGGTGGGGGCTTTTATATGTCACCTCCCCGTCCGCTTAGTCAGTGTCCCCCACACACATCCGCGGCTGAAGCGCCAATGAGCGTTCCCACCTCGCTTAATTAGGACTCCACCCAGGCATATGCACCATTGGTAGATAAGCATGCATCAGAATCTACACCTCACTTTCAAGCTCCAACCTCCTCCAATCTCCCCCGCCCCGCGCGCCTCTCAAAAATCTCCACGCCACCACCATGACACTCGCGTTCACCCCACTCCCTCCCACTTCTTCCCGCAACCACAACCAACCCCCCCCCCCCCCCTCCTAGCTAGAAAAAAGCCAACCTCCTGACCCTCGCCATTCATGCGCTCAACTACGCAAACTCGCCCAGCCAACAAGCTCTCTTATCCACAAACGAGCGCAAGTCCGCGCTGCAGCAGCTTGCAGTAACATCATATGCAGCGGCGAGTCTCGCGGAGGTCACGCATGCGGAGCTGCTAGGCGATACGGGGCGGGCTAGGGGTAGGGCGGGAGGGACAGAAGGAGGAGCTGCAGGAGACGGCGAAGCTCAAAGCGGAGGCGGAGAAAGTTAGCAAGGAGATCGAGAGGTCTAGCGGAGAGAGGGAGATTGAACACCAAGGCAGCGAAGGTGGCGAGAGAGACAGAGAGGGCCAAGGCGGAGGCGGGGCGGGCTATGCAGGAGACAGAGTGGCTGAAAGCGGAGGCGATGTTGGTGAAGAGTGAGAAGATGAGGATAGATACGGAGACGGGGAGGCTCAAGGCGGAGATGGAGCGGAGAGGTCAGTGCCGGAGAGGGAAAGGCCTGAGACCAGGAAGAACACAGGGAGGTTGAAGGCAGAGACAGCGCGGACGAAGATGGATGCGGAGAGCTTGGTACAGAAGGGCGAAACTCCGGAGCCCGGACGACGCGGTGGGAGGCCGAGGGCTGTGGTTCCGTGATCGGGTCGGTGCAGAAAGGAGAGGCTTCAGCGCCCAGGAAACGTGGTGGGAGGTGGACGGATGAGTGTAAAGGGATCAGGGTGGCGAGTTGGGTGGGCAACGAAGTTGAGAATTCGGCGCAGGGGCAGGAGGGGGAAAAGCGGAAGACTTGGATTTTTACTGACTTGCTAGAGGTGGAGAGTGGGTGGAAGAAACTGGAGATGGAAACGGATCAACGGGACAAGGGACTTCAGGGGTCTGTGCAGACGGTGCAGGAGATTGTGAAGCGGAGGGACGGTGCGGGTGAGGTGATATTATGGGGGGGGGGGGGGGGTTTGCGGGCACAGCAGGAACATTAGCGTTCTTTACAAAGTTTCTTGCACAGATAGTGGAGGCTATTGACTCGTCGGCCGTCATTCGAACATTTTCTGTCGGGCGGGTTATTTTAATTTCGGGAAATTGACTAGGTGTTGACAAGTGAGTATGTACACCCGGGTGAGAAAAGTGATGAAATAAGATATTAGTGGAGAGATGTATTGTCTGATTGAGGTCATATTCAGATTCTACATACTCTTAGGTAGTATTGATTGTAACAGAGATATATGTTGGTCCGAAAACAAACCAAAGGTCTTTGCACACACGTCCGACGAAACTACTCCGACCATGTAGATACGGGCGTATCCCTCGCACTGGACACTGTATAATCAAGGAACTCTGGTGGACAACATCGGGTATATGGACGGAACATTTATTCTCATGAGTTCTTAATAGCGGAAGATATCATGATACGTACTATCCATCTATTTTCCAGATACCGCAGCTATCTCCCTCGGTCAGAATAGGGAAATCCAGGGACATCACTAGTATTAGTCATCCGCCCCAACCCTTCTCCGCCAATCAGAGATCAGCGTTGCAACCCCCCACACATAATATAGGCCTCCAACCAAGTACATGCGCAGGTACTCATGTACTCAGGTTTCCATCACAACCCCACCTAGAACCTCCAAGCCTCACCCCAAGCCCCGCACCGCACAACCCACCCCACAAGTCAAGACCCCACATAGCCATGACACTAGCGTACGCACTCGCCCTACCTCCAGAGCCACAACTAACCTCCCCCCAGGTGCAAGATAGCTGACCTCCTCACCCTCGCCACCCACGCACTAAACCACGTCATGTCCGGCCAGCACGCCTTGCGATGCGCCGACGAGCGCAAATCCGCGCTTCAGCAGCTCACCCTAACAGTCCAGGCAGCGGGAAAACTCGCTTGTGTCGCGCATATAGAAGCACTGGCCGCGGGCGGAACGGTGACAGGTGAGACGGAGGGGAGGGTGGTGGTGGTGGAGACTGAGGCGATTAAGGCCGAAACAGAAAGGGTTAGTCAGGAGGTCGAGAGGTCTCTGGCTGAGACGGCGAGGCTGCGTGCCGAGGCGGAAAAGGTTGCGAGGGAGACGGAGAGGGCGAGGGCTGCTGCGGAGAAGGCTGGTAGGGAGACTGAGAGGGCGGTGGCGGAGACGGAGCGGCTAAAGGCGCAGGCGATGATGGTGCGGAGTGAGAAGATAAGGATTGATGCGGAGACGGAGAGGCTGAAGGTGGAGACGGAGAGGGTGCGGTCGGTGCAAGTGATGGGCGGGGAGAAGCTAAAATCCGAGGGGGTGGCGATGGCGGTTGGTGCTGAGGCTAGGGGCCCGACGGCGGAGAGGGAGCGGAAGAATATAGAGCTGGGGAGGGTGGAGGGTAAGGATCCTGCCAGATCGGCGCGAGAGACGCAACGGATATCACTCAAGGAGATAGTAGAGGGACTAGAGCTACAGACAGACCAGCCGATGGCAGAACAAGAGAGATGGAGGCAGGCGGTAGAGGCGCCGAGGCCCACGAACTACCTGGAGATGCTGATCGCGGAGGTTGCGCGGAAGGAGAGGGAGGCGAGCAGGTTGGGCAATGACCCTAAGAGGTGGGCGCAGGTAGTGTAGGATATTGGGAAGCTCGAGGCGCGCATAGATGGGGTGTTGAAGGCGGGGCGGGAGTAGAAGAAACGGTGGGTATTTTACAGGGTGTCCTGAAGAGTTGGAGGAACGGTTGATGGGTTGTATTTCGTAGATTTCCTCGCGGGGAGGTTATTATTTCAATATTAAACATATACTAGGTTTTTCACTAATAAGTACACCCGCATTAGAAAAATGGACAAAACTAACATCTGAATGTGAACCTAACTGCAATCCAATGAAGGTTAAAAGGAATGCATATGGCAGGAATTACTCTCACTACAAAATGAGAAAGAGAGACCGCCTCTGAAGTGTATATCCTACTTTTTGTGTCCCTCTTGGTGCTATTCTCTTCGGCGTTCTGTGGGTGAGTTTATAGGATTCATCACTTCCTAAGGTACAGAAGAGCTATTCCTGTTCTCGAACAGGGTGTTCAAGCTTAAGAACTGACGTGTCCGACTTCATGGACAACAGTTGGATAAACCGTTGAAACTATTATTGAGGGCGTTAGGAACTGCACCAACTATTAGCTTAAATAGTTCAGTTAAATCAGTTCGAACCATATAACTGGCAAGCCGTGTGCGGCTATATGACACCTGTGAGGTCCGGTCTGTCAACAGGTGATGGTGAGAACGAGCACATCCAGATATCTTCCCCCTATCAGCCTTAACCTCTCTACAGACCTACCCTTACGACATGATTAGAATAAGATAGCACCGTAGATCTAACATACCTCGTCCGCTTAGTCATCCCCACCTCCTCCGCGGCTGAGGCGCCAATCATAATTCCGAGAGAGTTGCAACCCCCCGCGCATAATTTAGGCCCCCAACCAAAACATATGCGCAGGTATTTCTGTAGGAATTATTCCACCATAACCGCACTTAGGACCTCCAAGCTTCAAGATTAAGCCTCGCACCCCATACCCTAACCACAGAACAAATCGAAACCCCACATAATCATGACACTCGCGTACGCAGCCTTCCTCTCCCCAAAAACCGCAGCTAACTCCCTCCCAGCTGCAAAACAGCAGACCTTCTCGCCCTCGCCACTCACGCGCTCAACCACCTCCTCTCCGGCCAGGACGCTCTGCGCTCCGCCGATGAGCGCAAGTCCGCCCTGACACAGCTCGCGGTGACAGTGCAGGCAGCGGCGAGGCTCACTGTGGTTGCACACGCGGAGGCGCTGGGCGGCCATACTGACCGTGTTAGGGCTGAGACGGAAGGGCAGAACGCGGTCAGGGGGGCTGAAGCAGCGGTGGTGGAGACGGAGCGAATCAGGGCGGAAACGGAGAGGGTGGGTAAGGAAGTTGAGAAATCAGTTGCAGAGAGGAGGAGGCTGCATGCCGAGGCAGAGAAGGTTAGGAAGGAGACAGAGCGGACGAAGGCCGAGGCGGAGAGGGCTGTGGCCGAGACCGAGAGGCTGAAGGCGAAGGGCATGATGGTGCTGAGTGAGAAGATAAAGATTGAGGCGGAGACGGAGAGGGCGAGGGCAGAGGAGAGGGAAAAGCCGAAGACCTGGACTTACGCGCCGTGGCAGGGGGCGGAGTGCGAGCGGAAGGTTGTGCCGGAGACAGCGGGCAAGGTAGTTGAGAGTCCGGTGCAGGTCCAGGAGGGTGAAGAGGTGAAGCCCGGGGATTACTTGGAGTTATTGGAGGCGGAGATTGAGCGGAAGGAGAACGAGGCAGATATTTTTCAGGGTGATAGCGAGCCGGTTGGACGGGGATATCGGGACATCATGTGGGCGCAGCTAGTGGATGAGATTAAGCCGCTGAAGCTGGAGGCGCGCAGGGAGAGGTTTCGGAGAATACGGCAAGAAGAGGAGTGATAGGGTGTCGCATAGGGTGCGTTGAACGGTTAGAAGGGGGGTTTGCGGTTGTATTTCGAACTTTCTCTCGTCGTTGGGTTATTGTGTTAATTTGTGTGAGAAAGTAACCAGTATTTTGACAGAATGGGTGCTTGCGGTGAGATTCAGTATTATCCTACTTAAGGTATTCTGGTCCATTCACCAACACGGACTGCAAGGGAACGCTATATACACCAAGTTGGCCAATGGAGCGATCAGCTGGCCAACGGACTAAACTTGATGAATGAGTACTCCATTCACCAAAAGATCCTTGAAATCTCTGATATACCGACATGATGGGAAACGAAAACGGTTGTTCAGTTCAAGGTTTCTAAGGGTAGAAACCGGTTGTGATACAAGACAAAACTGCACCGACAGATCAAGGAACTCAACCTGTACCAACTGTACCAACTGTTTATCGTGACAGGTTCAACTGGTTTAACCGCCTAAACCGTGGTTTTATGTCTTGGCGTACTCGCCATGTAACGGTCATAAAAATAACTCCTGAGATCCTCGAACATGGTGTTCCAGTCTTGGAACTGACATGTTCGAGCTCATGAACATGAGTTGTATAAACCGTTTAAACCGTCGATATCCCCTGGCTCATAACAGCCGATATTGTGGTCCTTTTGGACCAATATTGTCTTCCGGTTTTTTCATCTAGAGGTGTGCCAAGCTCTTCCAACAAAGATTCGACTACACAAGGACCTTCGGGGGAGTCCTCTTTCTTTTGAGCCATCTGCAATAAGCATAGCGTCCGTGACTATTGAGCTATTTCGAATTCCCACCGTTGTAGGAACTTTATTACGACCTAAGGGATAACCAGTTTTGCAAATCTCTACAATGTTGAAACCATGTATTGAGGACAACAAAACTCCACCAACAGTTAGGGTAAATGTTTCAGTCAAACCGCTTTTAACCAGATAACCCGTGAACCACTGGAGACCCTGGAAACAAGGAGTTACCACAAACCTGGTTAAATAACATCCAGTACTTTTGACGGGAGACCGTACAAGGTGTTCAATATACTTCAGAGGCCGCACTATATTCTCTCTTTCTCATTTTGTAGTTCAGTACTTTTCGTCGTTGGGGTTGGTGTTGGGTGCAGGCGTTGTTTCCTGTGGGTGTATCCGGGGGTGCCGGAAAGTGATGCAACGGTGAGGTCTTCGTGACGCAACCAAAACCCATTGTAAAAAAACCTATCGTGAGCCTGTAGAATCAATTGTAACAACATTGCTAAACCTCAATATGCGTGAAAAGGGAACTCTTAGTGAGGGAAGGTTGAGTGACGGACAATTGAGTGAGCAGATAAGAAAAGAGACTACCCGAGATGACAGGTAGAGAAAGTGTGTAGGAGAAGTGAAGTAATTGATCGTGTTATTTGTTCTAGCTAAGGGGGAATGCCCCGTATTTATACTAATGAAAGGTAGTACAAAAGAAATACAATGACTCATGGACGTGTGAGTAATAGAATGACTAATAGGAAAGTGAGTCATACGCCGATGATAAATACTATAATGAAATAATGAGAATCTTCCAGAACTATGAAACGTGCCGAGCGCCCTATTTCAAGACTTCCCCTCGTGAGCCACAGTGAATAGTAGAAGAAAATAAAACATGTTTGCCTTTATCCAATCCCTTTGTAAGTAAATCCGCCACGTTCTCGTTCGTAGAAATATATTCCAGTTCAAATAATTCATCCTCAAACCGTTCCCGAACAAAATGAAAATGTACGTCAATGTGTTTAGACCTTTTATGAAAGACAGGATTTTTAACCAAAGAGAGAGAGCCGTTGTTGTCGCCTCGAAGAATAAAAGAGAGATTCGGTTTTCGTTCCAGCTCGTGGATAGCATTCTTTAACCAGATCAGTTGTCGACTGGTGTCCGAGAGGGCCATGTATTCCGCTTCAGTTGTAGAAGTGGCGACAGATCGTTGCTTATAAGAGCGCCAGGAGATGAGAGCTTCCCCTAGCATGAAGCAGTGGCCGGTGAATGAGCGGCGATCATCGATGTCGGAGGCATAGCTTGCGTCGCTGTAGCCAATAAGTGCAGTTGGTCGCGTTTTGGCGTAATAGAGTGACCAATCGAGGGTGCCCTTGAGATAACGGAGGACGCGATGGACTGCAGCTAGATGAGCCTTGGTGGGGCAGGAGGAAAATTGCGAGAGCATGGTGACGGTGTAGGCGAGGTCGGGTCTGGTGCCGATGACTGCGTACATGAGTGAACCAATTATCGACTGATAAGTTGTTGGATCGTCGATTTTCTCAGCTTCCGTTCCTTTTTGGAGGTGGACGTTGTTGTCGATAGATGTTGCCACAGGTCTGGATTCGTCGAAGCCGTATTTGATAAGTACACGCTTGAGATAGGCTTCCTGCGATAGGATGATGCCAGTCTTAGTGTGGATCAGGTGGATTCCGAGTGCCCAGTTGGCTGTGCCAGTTTCCGTCATTTCGAATTCAGAGTGGAGGAGGAGACTGACGCGGTTTTTGCGTTCAGTAGACCAGTAGAAGAGGAGGATATCGTCTACATAGATTGCAATGACAACTTCCCCTGTTTTGTGTATGAAGACACAAGGGTCGAAGTCTGCTTTTCTGAATCCTATTTTGATTAGCGCTTTTGAGAGGCGGGCATACCATTCCCTTGAGGATTGTTTGAGTCCGTAGATGCATTTGATTAGTTTGCATGCTTTGCCGGGAGTAGGGTGTCCTGGAGGAGATTTCATGTAGATTTCTTCCTTGAGTTCGCCGTATAGGAATGCGCTAGTGACGTCCATCTGATCGCATTGGCCACCGGTTTGAAGGCAGCGAGCGAGGAGTAGTCTGATGGATTCGTATCGGGTGACGGGGGCATAGGTTTGATCGAAATCTTGACCAGGGACCTGTGAGAAACCTTTTGCGACTAGTCGGGCTTTGTACCGTATGGGGTTGCCATCGGGCCCGAGTTTGATTTTGTATACCCATTTGCAGTCGACCAATTTGCAGTGATCCGGTGTGTTGACCAGATTCCATGTGTTATTCCTTGCGAGTGAGTCGAGTTCAACTTTCATAGCATTCTGCCATTTTTCGGAGTCGGGACTGTTTATCGCTTGGTGGTAGTTTGTTGGTTCTGTTAGGGTATTGTCATGTTGAATGTTGTGTCCGTATCTGACCGGAGCTTTTCGTTCCCGTGCTGGGTTACGTCTCGGTTGATCAGTATCTGTTTCATTATCATCATGCGGGGTACGTTCAGTGGCGGGCCTCGTATAGCCGGCCCCCACTATACTTGCGTGGTCTTCCGAATCAGTGTCGGAGTAATGTTCCATGGTTTCGCGCATTATCTGTTGGTTGATCATGTCGTCGTCACTTGGGTCGTCGTCGTATGTTCTATGTTGTTTTGGTGTTGACGGACGTGAGGGTGGTTCTTGTTTGATCTCGATTTGTTTTGGTTTAGGGGGTGTATCGGTTTTTGTTTTGACTTCGATTTCTTCCCCTACGGATGTACCTTTAAACCTAAAATGACGAGAGAGAACTACTTTCCTTTGTGATGGTATGTAGACGCGACAGATCTTTTCAGAGTCACCGTATCCGCAGAATTGTCCCGTGATAGCCCTTGCATCCAGTTTTGTTCCAGCTGGTCGTGCTTCGACAGGTATGTGTATGAACATGGTTTCACCGAAGGATCGGAGGTGCCCAATGAAGGGTTTCTTGCCGGTAAGTGCTTCGTATGGTGTCATATTCGGGAGTGATTTGTGCGGGAGGCGGTTCTTAACGTGTACCATGGTGTTGATCGCTTCTGCCCATAGATTTTTTGGGAGGTTGTGGTCGAGCAAGGCGGATCGTGCCATTGTTGCTATAGTCCTGTTAAAGCGTTCTGCTGTTCCATTTGACTCGTGAGAGTAAGGTACAGTGAATTCATGCTTTATGCCTTTGGAGGCAAAAAATTGTTGAAGGTCTTTGGAGATGTACTCGCCACCATTGTCGCTTCGAAACCGTTTAACCGTTTTATCCAATTGGTTTTCCATGTAGGCGATGTATCGTTCCGTGGCAGCTGCTGCATCTGACTTCTTTTTAAGGAAGTAGAGGTGAGCGTACCTGGAGTAATCGTCGATGAAAGTGATATAGTAACTGAAACCGCCCAGAGAAGGAGTCGAGAACTTGCCGCTCAGATCTGAGTGTATTAGTTCCAGTGGTTGTTTGGATTGTGGTTCGGTGAGGGGAGCGAGGTGAGACTTGGTTGATTTAGCGAGTTCACATGTGTTGCATGTTTCCATGTGACCAGATGTGGGGAGAGACTTGGGGTCGGCGACCATGTTGCGAAGTCGTGAGAGCGAGGAAGCGGGGAGATGTCCGAGCCGTTGGTGCCAGTCATAGAAGCTGGTGGCGGCAGAGAGGTGTGCGCAGGGTTCCTTGGTTTCAAAAATGTAGAGACCAGTACTATTTGCGTTAGCGATCCCGATGATTTCCTTGCTATTCGGTTTGTAGATGGTAAAGCCGTCCTCCGTCCCAGTCGTGGTGAATCCCTTTTTAGCGATGCAAGACCAAGACATCAGGTTGGTGTTGCCTAATTCGGGGATTAAGAATACGTTCTGCAGAGTGATCAGGCCATGTGATCCGTTGATGGTGACGTTGCCAATTCCGGTTATCTGGAGTTTGCGACCTCCTCCAACAGTGACTGTTCCAGTGTGGGGAGTCGGGTCGGTAACCAGCGTTCCGGTCATGTGGTTGGTTGCACCAGGGTCGAAAATCCATGCCTTGTTGTCGGTGGTGGAAGGTCCTGCAATGAAGCCAAAGTAGTCTTCCATGGTAATATCCGAGGTGTCATCTGAGAAGTTGGTGAGGTCGAAGTCAACCGGCATTGTAAATACGTCGGTTTCTTCGAGTGCGGGAAGGCCAGAAAGATCGGGGATCCAAGAGAGGTCGAGTTTCGTGTGAAATGCAGTACCAGATGCGACATTAAGATTGCCAGATGCAGCGGACTTCTCCTTGTCTCTGAAAGCTTTGAGTTTCCGGCAGTTTTTGTGCGTGTGGCCTTTTGCATATTCTCCATTCTTGGTGCACCAGGTGCATGTGACGTCCCGATTTCCTGTTTCGTTGTTACGTGGCCTCCTGACTCTGTTGTTGTTTCCGTGTCCTTGGTTTCCTCGCCTGATTGTGTAGGCTTCTCCAGCCGCCTGTCCATCGTTGTTGCGCCGTGAGTCCAGATCCAACAGCTTTTCATAGACGTCATCGAAGGTGACGTTGGGCTTGGTTTGCAGGTTGTCAACGACTGATTCGAGGGATTCGTGCCGGAGTGAGAGGAGTAGGAAGGATGCCTTCGCTTCTGAGACAGATGCGAGTTGATGAAGGTGGTAACCGAGTGGGTCTTTGGTCTTGTCCGTAGAGTTACTAGTTCTAGTGAGGAGGGAGGACCAAAGAGTGTTAAACTGGGTTAGATGTTCCTTGATACCCTTGTCGGGTGTGTACTGTAGTGTGACGACATTAGCGAGGAGCGAGTGGAGGGAAGCGACGGTTTTCCGATCGAATCTGTCTTCGAGTTGAGTCCAGAGGTGATGAGCGGTGTCGGCCGGTGTCAGTGTGAGAATAACTTCGAATTCGATGTTAGATTGGAGGAATACAACCGCAAGGTTATCCTTTTTATCCCAGTCGCTGATTTCTTCGGCATTGTCGGAAGTTTCTTCTTCGTCTTCTTCAGCCTCAGCAGTGCTTCCCGATGCTTGTGGTGCCGTGGTAGGTACAGTAGTGGTGGTGGTTGTCAACACGGGACGCTTGCTCGAACCATTGACCAAGTTCCACAGATCGTGAACTTTCAACATGCGGGTAGCAAGGTCCCTCCACACAGTGTAATGGCCTTGACCATCCAGCTTGCATGGGAGTGCGGGAATTTTGATGCTCCTCTCAGACATGATTGAAAGTGAAACGAGAAAGTGTACTTTGTGGTAAAAATGGTGAAGAGTGTATAAGCGTGAGTGGTCTCCGGGCTCATAACCTAGAGAAAGTGTGTAGGAGAAGTGAAGTAATTGATCGTGTTATTTGTTCTAGCTAAGGGGGAATGCCCCGTATTTATACTAATGAAAGGTAGTACAAAAGAAATACAATGACTCATGGACGTGTGAGTAATAGAATGACTAATAGGAAAGTGAGTCATACGCCGATGACAAATACTATAATGAAATAATGAGAATCTTCCAGAACTATGAAACGTGCCGAGCGCCCTATTTCAAGAACAGGATCCGTCTCGCAGTACTCCATGAGATCGCTGGATTCAGTTTTCAGAAGATAGTCGATGAACTCAAACTTGACATCAACAAATCCACCTGCCGACGTATTTACAACAGAATGAAAGAAGACGGAACAACGAGTAATCGAAAACGTACCGGTCGGCCAACATTTTTTGACAAGGACAAGCGGAATGAGCTAGACCAATTCATTACCCAGGATAAGCGAACTCGACGATTACCCTGGGAAATGGTGCGAAACGAAATGGCTATGAAATGTTCGGTCAGAACCTTGCGACAAAAAGCTCATCGACTTGGATTTCATAAGAGACGACGTCGAAAAAAGATTGGGTTGCGAGCAGAATCACCTTCAAAACGGCTTAAATGGGCTAGAGAGCATCTACACTGGACAAATGAAGAATGGTCTCGCCTTATATGGACAGATGAATCGAGTTTCTCAACAGCAGGATTTGGCCAACAACCACCTGTAACACGAAAGGATGGAGAGGAGGAAACCTATAACGCAGATTGTCTGAATCAAACCTGGAGATCTGGTCGTCAGAGTGTTATGGTATGGGGTGCATTTTGCGGAGAAGAGAAATCAGAACTCCATTTTGTTCCAACCAATACCTCTGTCAATTCTAGCTCCTATACTCTCTCGATACTAGATCCTATTCTTATTCCATTCTGGCACGAGATGTGTGAAAGGGACGGTTGGACAGCTGTAGTTGAAGACAATGCGCCTGGTCATAAGAAATATGCCAGCAGGTAAATATTACTTTGAGTATTTTGAGTTCTAATAACTAATTTCTATCTAGGTGCCAGGAAAAGAACAATTTAGATAGCATTGATTGGCCTCCCCAATCCCCTGATCTCAATTTAATTGAGAATTTTTGGAATGATATGAATGAGTATGTGGGGAGAATATATGGTCGGGTTACTACTCTCTCTCGCCTCAAAGAGGTCCTGCAGGAAGCTTGGGATGATATCGGAAAAGAAAGAATGAGGTCGCTGATTGAGTGTATGCCTAGAAGATTATGGGTTGTGATAGAGGCACAAGGAGGAACTACAAAGTATTAATTTAATTCAATGTACTATTTGTTAATTGCTACTTCATTGAGGTTAAACATTGTTGCATCGTGAAGTTGGGTCGTGAGGTCGTGAGGTCGTTGCATCACTTTCCAGCACCCCCGCATACATCATGCAGGGATGTGCATAGCACACACACACGCTTAGTCATCAACTCCACCAACGACCTCTGCGGCTGAAGCGGCAAGCTCGAAGCTTCACGCCCCTCCACCACACAGCTCCATCAAAACACCAAAAATGACTCTCGCGTAGGAACCCCCTTCCATCTCCCCCACTCCCACCACAACTAGAGGCCCCGCTAACCCCCCACCCCCCCAGCTGCAGGACCGCCGACCTTCTCTCCCGCGCCACCCATGCGCTAAAGCAAGTCATGTCCGGCCAGCACACCCTACATTCCGCCGATGAGCGCCGGTCCGCCCTGACACTGCTCGCAGTAACGGTACATGCCGCGTCGCGGCTTGTGGAGGTCGTGCACGTGCAGGTGCTAGGCCGTGATGAGGTGGGGAGGAAAGCCCAGACGGTGGTGGAGGAGACAGAGAGGATCAAGGTGGAGACAGAAAAGATTAGCAAGGAGGTCGAAAGGTCTGTGGCTGAAACGGGGAGGCTACGTGCCGAGGCGGACAAGGTGGCGAAGGAGACGGAGAGGGCAAAGGCCGACGCTGAGAAGGCTGGTAAGGAGACTGAGAGGGCGGCAGCGGAGACAGAGCGGCTGAAGGCGGAGGCGATGCTGGTGCGGAGTGACAAGATGAGGACCGATGCAGACACGGAGAGGGCAAAGGTAGAGATAGAGTGGTCGAGGAGGGAGGGGGAGATGGTGGCTAAGGAAGTTGAGAGCTCGACGCATGCAGTGCGGGAAATAGAGGAGCCAAGTATTAAGGCGCCAACGGAGCGGCGGAGAAGGGTGCGGGTAAACCTGGGGCCAGGGAGGGTCGAGAAGCAGGTTGAGGGGGGTGCGCAGGAGACCCAGGTGGACCCATTCGAAACGTACGGCGAAGCGCTGAGGAGGATGGGATACAGTACGTCGCGGGTTTTAGGGGGAGGCCAGGGGGGTGGCAGTCCCCTGTTTGGAACGTTTCCCGCCGGAAGTAATCAGGTTTTTGGCAAATGAGTATAGGCAGGTAATCAAACTTATGAAAACCACGCCGGCACATGACCCCAACTACAACGCTAATGGAACTTTCAAGAGGAATGGGGTGAGTTAATTTAACTACAAAATGAAATGAGAAGTGTATTTAGTGCTTTGCATGTGTCCTCTTATTTTTGCTCCTGGTGCCATCCTTTTCCGCAAGCTGTGTGCTTTCATATTTTTATAACCTCACCCAGCAAACCAGTCTGCTCAAGCATAACATTGGTTAGACTAGGCTGACGACGGTTATTGTGACTTCCTAGTTAGCTAGGCCATCTGGCAAGATCATAGGACTTTAGGGGTGAAAGATGTTGCAAAATAATTTGATATCTCCAGCACGATGGTGCGATGCTGATTTATTGGTGAAGGTAACTTTTAAGGTGAATTCCTTAGCACTGGTTGGGTAAGAAACTCGGATAAGGTGAGAATCTGGGGATATTGTGCTGCAGTAAACGCTCGCACATGTTAGAAGATTCTTTTTTTGTTTTTTTTAATTCATTACTTGCATGCAACCTTACAGTTATGGCAATAGCCCCTGAACTACCCGCTCTCTTCCGCCTCCTCTCACGTTTGGCTTACATCGGAAATATATGAAAATACATCGAACTGAACTATTCCTCGTCTCCGGCGTCTCTCAACGTCCCCACCCGTATTCCAGTTCTGCCCTTTCTTCTTTCGCGTTTTCATCTTGTCCTCTCCTCTCATGTCTCCATCTGGTGAACCGTTTCTATATTTACGTTAGAAGATTCTCGAGCAGTCATGGGAGAACATCGGGCAGTCCTACAGTGAATAAGACCATACTACAAGAAGGAAGAATGGTCAAGAGCCTTATCAGGATTAGACCAATGAAAGACGATAGGAATTAACAAAAAAAGAAATACTTGAATATAGTCACCAAAACCGAGTGATCGTTCATGACCCATAGATACCTATAGTGCGGCGCCTTATCCATTGCCCCAGCAAAAGCATGGAATGGGCGGACCACGACCATATAGTACGTCCAATCCGGAGGCACTGCCAAGGCATCTATAGATATCTATCATCCGGACCTGACCGTTACAACACTGAGATTCTGATTCACCGGTTGGACTAGCGTATGCACTTAGTCAGCGATCACCTGTGCAGATGAAGCGCCAATACCTGTTGAAACCTCATCCAATTAGGCCTCCAGCCAAGCATATCCAACAGCAACATATATACTAGGTAGGTAAGCTCACATGACAATCTACACCTTCAACCTCCAAGCCCCCAAACCCCCGACTCACTAGTAGCTTGTCCAAAACCATGACTCTCGCGTACGCCCCCCTCCCGCCTCCCCGCTCCCCCTTCTTACCCCTCCCACAACTAACCCTCGCTCCCAGCTGCAAGACCGCTGACCTTCTCACACTCGCTACCCACGCCCTAAACCACGTAACCTCGCCCAGCCAGCACGCCTTACTGTCCGCCGACCAGCTCAAGTCCGCACTGCAGCAGCTCGCAGTGACTGTGCACGCGGCAGCGAAGCTCGCCGAGCTTGCACACGCGGAGATGCTAGGCAGCGATACTGGGAGGGCTAGGCTTGATACGGAGGGGCAGGAGGCCGGGAGGCAGGCTGAGAGGGAAGGCCATGAGACGGAGCGGATCAAGGCAGAAACGGAGAGATCAGTAGCGGAGATGGGGAGGCTGCACGCTGAGGCGGTGAAGGTGGAGAAGGAAGCGGAGAGAGCAGTGGTGGAGACTGAGCGGCTCAAGGCGGAGGCGATGATGGTGAGGAGCGAGAAGATGAAGATCGATTCGCAGACGGAGCGGCTAAAGGCAGAAACGGAGCGGATGAAGATGGAGCAGGTGCAGAGGAGGCGGGAGGTGGAGGTGGGGGCGGAGGCGGAGGCGGCTGGTACGGATGAGGGGTTGGTGGCCAAGAGGGAGCTGCTCGAGACAGGGGCGGTGGTGGTGAGTAGTGAGATAACAAAAACTGATGCTGAGATGGAAAGGGTGAAGGCGGACACCCAACGGGCGAGCGCGGAGGAGACGGTGCGTGAGGAGCTTGAGAGCTCGGGGCAGGTGCCGGAGGGGGACGGGCTAAAGCCGGGGAACTACCTAGAGGAGCTAGAGGCGGAGATCGACTGGAAAGAGTTGGAGGAGCAGCGGGAACACAATTATTATAAGTGGGTGCATCTAGTGCAGGAGATTATCCAGCTGAAGTTCCGAGCGTCCCAGGAGGGATCGAGAGTACACCAACTGAAGGCAGCAAAGAGCGTTGCATAGGGTGGCTTGAAGCGCTAGAGGGGGTTCGGTGGGCTGTGTTTTGAACATTTCCTCGTGGCAGGTTATTGTTTTAATCGTTTCGAGGGATTCAACCGCATTTTGACAGATAAATAACGTGATGTAAAAAGCGTGATGAAAACAACTCCAGCATGCATGTGACCCTAACCCGAGTCCGGTGAAAGCTAAAGCAGAATGGCAGGAATTATGGTCTGTCCCATTATCAAATTCCGGCGTTCACCTGACATGCATTGATTAGGTATCCTGCCTGGTGCACGCTTTTGGTGTTCTGGCTCGTACGCGGAACGCATCCCATTGACAGGGCGTTCCTGAGTGGGACAGTCCACAGAGCGGACGTTCTGTAGGTGGGGTATCTAAACCATGGTTTTATCCCATACTCCCAGTAAGCTTCCCGTAGCAGGAATATTCTTCAACAGGGCAAATAAAATTCCTCTACCAGGGATGCAAAGCCATCATTTACATCCAACCTGGACCTGCATGCATTCTGGTCGATAAACGAACGCTGCGTTTCTTCTCAACAAGAGCAAGCCAAGTAAGAAAAGATAATCATAATCAGTCCTGAACTGTTTCTGCGATGCCGACCCTTCACAATATCTGCGCCTATTACAAAGAAATATCTTGTTGCTCCTAGAACATCGGTAATCGATGACCAACCCATATCATCATATCGCTTTCCGTTCACTTTAATTTCCCGCAAAGATATTGGCAATCCCATAATACTCGGATTGGTTAATTGAGGTACTGTACTGCGGTTGTGGCAATCCAGCTACCTACCCAGGTCACATTGTACCCAGGATCAAAACGTAGTTTCCATCAACCCATTCGATGCAAGTTCTAACCACGGCCTACCCATAGGTGGAACAGCCACATTTTGGTTCATTGACGCCCCACTGGTGGAGCGTTCTGTCTATAGGGCCGTCTTTTCTATGTGCCAGAACACTTGATCAGCTGCGTCAATGGGCCGTGCCTTTAGCACACAGGCGGCCGGCCCAGGGTATTTTTTAATAGGCCGGGCCGAGCGGAGGTTAATATCTAGCCGGTACTCCAAGACAATGTTTCCAGTGGTTTACCGGTTATATGGTTCAAACAGGTTCAACTGAACCATTTAACTTAACAGTTGGTTTAGTTGTTCTGGCCCTGAATAAATGGCCTGAACGGTTTATTGGTATGCACAACCGGTTATACAGATGGTTTAAACGGTTTATCGATCACATGTTCGTAAGTTCGAACACCCCAGTTCCTGTGCTCGAGCAGGTAAGTTCCAAAGCTCGAACATGTTGTCCGAGGGTGTTAGCGCCTATTTTTAGGACTATTATCACGGTGAGTATGCCAAGACATGAACCACGGTTTTAAGCGGTTCAACCGGTTGGGACTGGCAAGATAAATAGTTAGCATAGTAACCGGTTTCTACCATTGAAAGCCTTGCTGCAAGGTGTTCGCGGGAGGACTAGAAGGCCCCTATACAGCGTTCACCATAAGAGTCATGTGAAAGCTGTAGCTTACCGATATTACCCACTTCCAGCCAACGACCATGATAGGTCATGCAGATGTGAACCTTTTCCCATGGACGAACACCCAGTTCTTACCCATGAACACCACTATTCATGGGGGCGTCGGGACTGGGCAGGGATATTTAGCTTAGGCCAGCTGGCCAGGCCGTGATCTCGATATCATGGGCACGGCCAGACCGGTTGGCGCTATTCTCCATCTCCACCCCGGGCTGGCCCACCGACGCCCATGCCCTATATTCAGCCCAGCAAAGCACCGTTTACTAGCCAGCGCGTGAGCACATCAGTGTACTATCCCATCATACAAAATTAGTGCCCAATACTTATATATCCCAGCAATCCTGACCCGACTTTAAACACAGACATTCCCCTCCATTACCCGTTTGGCCAGATGTCATTTTGGTATGAACCACTCCTCCTACCTCCAAATGGGTTGAGAACGGCCAACCTACTTGTAACAGCTGATATTTGCTTCTTTTGAAGCCTAACACGGACCGGGATATCGGCGCAGAGACATGCAGTTACATCTCGTCCGCTTAGTCATCCAACCCCCACCTCTCTGCGGCTGAAGCGCCAACCACAACCCAGAGACTCGCAACCTCCACTCACAACCTCAACCCCCCCCGCCACCGCACAAACCACCCAACACCTACACGTCGAAAACACACACAATCATGACACTCGCGTACGCACCCCCCCAACCCCTCTCCCACAAAACTAACTCTCCATCAGCTGCAAGACCGCCGACCTCCTCACGCTCGCCAACCGCGCGCTAACGCAGCTCATGTCCGGCCAGTACCCCCTCCATTCCGCCGAGGAGCGCAAGTCCGCCTTCACACAGCTCGCAGCGACTATACACGCTGCGGCGAAGCTCGCGGAGGTCGCGCACTTTGAAGCAATCCACGCGGGCGGAACGGGGGTGAGAGCGGTGGGGGGCGAGACGGAGGGGGAGAAGGTGGGTGAGACGCAGCGCATCAACGCGGCGACGGAGCAGATCAAGGCGGAAGCGGAAAAGGTTGGGAAGGAGGCTGAGAAATCGGTCGCAGAGACGGCGAGGCTACACGCCGAGGCGAGGAAAGTAGGGCGGGAGACGGAGAGGGCGGTGGCCGAGACGGAGAGGCTGAAGGCGGAGGCTATGATGGCGCGGAGTGACAAGTTGCGGATTGATGCGGAGACGGAGAGTCGGAAGGCGATGACGGAGCAGGTCTTGGCGGAGATGGAGCGGGTGAAGGTTGAGCGGATGGGGGTCGAGACGGAGGAGACGGAGGCTAAGAGGGCGGGGAAGGAGGCTGAGAGGGCGGTGGCCGAGACGGAGCGGCTAAATGCGGAGGCGATGATAGCAAGGCGCGAGAAAATGAAGTTGGCTGCGGAAACGGAGCTGGCGAGGGGTGAGGAGGTGAAGGCCGGTAAGGGGGTCGAGAGCTCGGAGGGGGTAGGCGCCGAGACTGCGGATTACCTGGAGCTCCTGGAGTTGGAGATTGCGCGGAGGGAGGTGGAGGCGGCGAGGGAACGGTCGTATCTCAAATGGGCGCAGATAAGGCAGGAGATTGAACAGCTGAAACCCGAGGCGAGCACGGAGAGGATGAGGAGGAATCTCCAACTGAATGGATGAGAGGCTGGTTAGTGTGTCGTGAAGAGTTAGAGGGGGATACGTGGGGTGTGTTTCGAACCTTTTCTCGCGGGGGGTGAGGGGTGTATTGTGTATGGGGAATCTAGTAACGGGCTGTTTGATCATGAGAAACGGGTTTATGATTGGAGAAAAATATCAGCGTAGAGACCTGCATGAAGATATCTTCTCCGGTTAGTAATCCTCCCCAAAACTGCTCTCTGACTAAAGCGCCAATCATAAATCGGAAACCACTCCTGATTAGGCCTCTAACTAGCTAAGCACGCTCAGCCAGCGAAGCTCACATCAGAACCTACTCTTGCGACCTCCCACCTTCGAAGTTCAAGCTTCCCCCCGCACAAACCACCCGACATCCAGAGCAAGTCGAAAAGCCATATAATCATGACACTCGCAGACGAACCCTCGCCAGCTCCTACAAACACAACCACAACCGACTCCCTCCCCAGCGCACCCCCAACAACTGCGACCAACCCCCTCACCTCCCCACCTCCCAAAATCACAACCAACTCCGTCCCCATCTCCAAAACAGCCGGTCTCCTCTCCCTTGCCACCCATGCGCTAAACCACATCACCTCGCCAGACCAGCGCGCTCTACTCTCCCCCGATGAGCTCAAGTATGCAGTAGTGCAGCTCACCCTCACAGTACAAGCCGCGGCGAAGCTCGCGGAGGCTGCGCGCTTACAGGAACTCCACGGCGATACGGAGCGCGTGAAGGGCGAGACAGAACGGTTCAAGGCGGAGACGGTAAAGGTGAAAGCGGAGGCAGAGAGGGCCGTGGTAGAGACGGAGTTGAGCAGGGCAGAGGCAGAGCGGAAGAAGGCCGAGGCGGAGGGGGCGGTGTAGGAGACAGAGAAGCTGAAGGCGACGTCGATGATGGTGAGGAGCGAGAAGATGCGGAATGATTCAGAGATGGAGAAGCTGAAGGTGGAGATTGCATTGAAGAAGGCGGAGAAGGAGCGGATGGAGGCAAAGACGAAGTTGAAGAGGGTGGAGAGGGAGCGAGCGAAGGCGGAGAAGGACCGGATGAAGGTGGAGACGGAGCGAGTGAAGGCGAGGACGGAGGAGAAGAAGGCAAAGACGGAGAAGGTGAAGGCGGAGGCGACGAGGGAGAGGGTGAAGGATAAAAGTAACTCGGGGGGCTGATGGCCGCGGCTATCACTGGGTGGAACAAGGAGTTCCGGATGCGTTCATTATACCCGCTGGGTCGTTGAAGAAGGTGAGGCGGCAAGGGAGCGAACGAAACAGTGTTCTGAAGAGTTAGAGGGGGTTGATCGCAGAGAGGTTATTGTTTTCGGGGATTGCTTAAACCAGTTGTTTCATAAATGAGGACATGGTTAAATTCAGAGCTTGATGTAACTGAATATCTATACGTGACAATTAATGTTAGCGATTGATGAAGGCACATCATGTCCCGCCACACTTAGTCAGCCATCCCCCGCGGCTGAAGCGCCAATCACGAGCGACTACCAAACCCCGCCTCCAACCCGTAAGCACTGTCATATCCCATTCACGGCTTCCCCCCACCACAGCTTCCCCCACAACTCTACCCGCCACATCACTCCCAACCCTACCCCCAAGTAGACATGACACTCGGGTATATCCCCCACCCCCCCCCCCCTTCACACCTTCTCACGACTGACCCCCGGGGCACAGCATTGAGACCGCCGCCCTCCTCACGCACGCCATCCATGCGCTAAACCACCACATGCCCCCCGCCCAATACGCGCTCCACCCCCCGACGAGCACCTATGTATCCTCGCGCAGATCAAAGCCATAGTCGATGTCGCGGCCAAGCTTGCAGAAGTCGCGCACATAGACGCGCTGACAACGCACAACGCGGGGGTAGGGTAGGCAACGATGAGACGGAGAGGATTCGGGCGGAGACGGACAGGATCAGGGCGGAGGCGGAAATGCTGAGAGCCGAGGGGGAGAAGGTGGCCAAGGAGGCGGAGAGGGCGGGGAAGGAGGCGGAGAGACTGCGGGTGCTGGAGAGGGTTAGTAGTGGAAGGATTTGAGGGGTTAGCCGGGTGTGTGTGTGTGGGTGTGTGGTTTTTGCGTGTGGTGCTTAGGGGCGGAGCGGAAGTGAGTTTTGGAATACAGCCGCCTCTCGTTATAGTGATACTGCATATAGTGATATTCTGGTTATAATGATGACACCCGCCGGTCCCAACTTTTTAGTATGGGGTTTAGTGATTTTTTCATATAAGGATATCACTAGAAGATTTGTATGGGTATCCTTATAACAAGAGTAAATCTGGGTGTGGCGAGCGACCCAGAAAGGGGGGAGGGCCAGCATTATCAGGCATTTTACGTGACAAAAAGCCTGGAAACAAGACTACAATACGAACGAGGCTGTACATGTACTTAAACAGTCACATATCCATACCCTACGAATCGCTGTCAATTTAGCTTATTTTTCGACCCAAAAAAAAACCTCACCCTCATTCTGTATAGTGATAACCTCGATATAACGATACCATTTTTCGCTCCCGACCCCATCACTATAACGAGAGGCGGCAATAGAAGATGAGCGCATGTGAGAACTATTCGAGAGAAAGATGTTTATTAAGCTTGGCTGCTTGGCTGGGTACCGCTGCAACCACCGCCGATGGCCATTCTTCTGTTACCATTACTTTGGCTCCTTCTTGCGTATGCCGTATGTGTCAAAATCGTGATGCACATGCAAACAGCTTCACCCTTCACCCCACCCCAAGACAAAAGTCCCCCGTACCATATAACGCATCGCTCCTGGTCTCACGCTCGCACCGGGAGTGCATCATGCTATATCACTCGGCTCTCCCTGGCCATTTTCGTTGATATTGACATTGACAGATGTCGTCCAAGGCAGTAACGTCGTGGAGTCGAATAGCAAACAACCCCCCGCTAAGCGTCTTAGATCGTGTCCCGTCCCGGTCTCTATAAGATAGCTGGGCTACCTTCAGAGTTCAACACCAACCGAAAAACCACCATACTCGACCTACCTTTCCACAAGTTCGATAAATCCTTGGAACCTGTGCTCAGGTCTTAAACGATAGGTTTTTGGTTACCTTGGTATCCTTTGATATAAAGGCAGCGGTAAGATCGCGCCCCGGGCCATCCCTCCTGTCCTTGACAAGCCCCTTCGCAACTCCGCCAAGAGTTCATGAAGTGCAGGGTCACTCCTCACTACAGACTTTGCTTTGGCTTCATTTGCCAAGGCAAGTCAAAAGCTCCTCCTCCTACTCCCTCCATGGGAACCTTTCCTCTGGGATATCGAGCTCGAAGGTCACCCCCCAAAGACCACCAGCATCCTCCTCCCTCCTGAATTTTCTCAGGGGAACACCTTTTTACCCCCCCTCCGTCACAGTTGGGGATTTGAGAACGCATTAAGCTTTTTTTTGGCCCGGCAATATGTCTTTCTTTTGTGTTATCCGGAATCTTTCTACTTTTTTCTTGGGCGGGGGTTCTCTTAGTCATCAACCTTGTAAGAGGAGTGCGGTTGGTAGTATACCATAACTACTATAACAAGGGGAACTGGCATTGGGGATAGGTTTTTATGTCATAGGCTATGCCTGCATGCAGTTATTGTACCTAGAATCAATTCATATGATATAAAAAAAAAGATCGCGCCCCGGGCGAGGTGTGGGGTGGCGGGGTATGGGGAAGATTCCACATAGAACTTCTCTCGCAGAGTGATGGCTGTAAGGTGGCTGGCTTGACTATCCCTGTCCATGTTCCGAGCGGAAAATGCTTGATACTGATGTTAAATCGGCCCGGGAGAGCGTCATGGGCTATCACTTGATACTCAATTTAATTGTGCACTTGTCTCTTGCCCCTTGTTGATGTTGTTGGAACTGTGTTTGGGGCAACGTGTGGCCAGCGTTGCATACCGCGGGGAGAGAGACGATATTGTGCAGTAGTACCTCCTGGGTGTGTGTTTGGTGTCGTGGCGTCGAGGTCAAAAGTTTCCGTTGATATGCCTGTCAGCTACAAAGACAGCCTAGGGGAAGGGGAAGGGCTCAATACACTTTATAAAGTAGTCATATCATTCCATGCTGCCCTGTGCGGAATCTATGGCACATGTGTTGGGAGTTTCGCCCGCAAAATCAACGGCGGATATGCGGTTCCAAGGGGTGGGGGGTGATATCTATCAGAGCAGAAATGATGGAGAATACCAGTGGTAGCGATAACGAATAGGTCTTCTCCGAAGGTCATAAACTTTTTGCATGAGCAGCGGAGCTGACGGGGCCTTCGGTACTGTGGCGTGATGACTCCAATTGTCAAATGGTTGACTAGGGAAGGCAGTTATCAACGACGGATTTATTGGTATTGTTTCGTTTCTGTAGGATGCGTGGCGATAGGAGTAGGTCAGTGATAACTCTGAATAGGAAGTAATATTGAGAAGGCTGTTGATTTTCGCGTTCCGCCAGAGAGAAAAGGGGGGATGGGGAAAAACAGACGAACCATGCACAGCACCCCCGGCTTGGCTCCTAGTAGAAAACTCGGAAGGTTCAGAGACCCTAGAAAAGAGCTCTCAGCGAGGAAAGGGGTGGGTATATGGCTAGATGTATTCACTGTCTTCATGCACTTATGGAACATGTGCTGTTGTTGTTTGTTACTTCATTAATCGTATGCAACCCGGAGGTTTTGTCTAAGCAATCACTGCAGGGTCTCACCTTATAGAGGCGCTAGCCTCAGGTGTGGAATATGGTTGGGACACCTAGAGACGGAAGGGTGCGACATTGGTCCCCCAGTGAAGATTACCTTCCTAATCAAGTAATTACTTGGCACGAAATCGCTCCAAGGATGCCAAGACAGTAGCCCTATGCCAAGATATTGGCCAGCAACAAGGGATCTGTTCCCAATCGGGTAATTATGTACTAAAGTCCACCTAATAGGGTAATTATTGGTATGCAAGTGCGACATTCGGTCAGCCTCTCACCAAAAACCCAACTCTTAGAAATTCAATAGTTCAACAATCACAACAGATAGTATTAATTGGGCTCTGTTACAGTGTTGTTTATCTCCTTTTCTATCACTACAGAGCTATTTTAATTTTAATGTGTTGTGATGGTTGGCCATTAAGCCTTGAAGTTCGGCAACTTTGGCACTCCGGCTCAAGGTGTCCCCAACCATACCCCAACCGACATCTAAGGCCAGCAGTCGCACTCATCCGCACTTTTCCCCGTATGCCTCATTTCGGCACAGGGTGCTGGGTAAACCCTCTCCACAGAGCAGAAACGCATCTACATGCCAAGCCAGGAAAGGAAACCACAATTAATACCCCCTGGGTCGCCGCCCCTGCCGGTTTCGAACCGGTGACCTTGCCCGATTGTTCGTACGCTCGGACAGGTGTTTAGAGACTTTTACCTGTTTAAACACTCGCTGCTAGATGTTAGTCGATTAAAGGAGAAGGGTTCGCGTGACGGAGGTCATAAATCAGGGAATTCTTATCCACTGTCTTATGTACACAATATTCTTCTTTCTCATCCCATGCTACTCTTTCTGGAGAAAGCTTCAGTGTTTGTTTTGGGGTCCATACAGCAAGATGCGACCGTAGGAGAGAACAGGCATATCATGTCCCAAGAACGCCAAGACCTCGTCAGGGTCAGGGTTATTTCAGACGATGACTGGTGTGTAACCCACACATGGGAGAACCCCGCACGGATTCCCGGCATTCCTGGCCACAATTCCTTGCGCACCCTTTTCGTTCCCATCAGATCCAAATCATGCCGAAAAAAAAGAATACGTTAGTAGACGGGTTGAAGCAATTTGGCCGAGCTCTTAGTCCCCGCAGACGCAGCAAGTCTCAAGGACAACATCCTGGCGGGTTCTTTCACGGTACATCTCCTTCGACCAGCACATCTCAGCTTGGTAGTACCCAAACGGTTACAAATAACCCAGGGCACCACACGAATTCGAGCAACAGGTAGTTATATTCATCCCGCCCTTATTGGTAGTATTCGCAATAGCCAATGAATATTCGCTCCCCTCTTCCGCGGGCCGCCGCATCCTAGAGTTTCCGTGCAAAGTAAAGGTGATTGGAGACCTATTGTTAATACCTGCAGTAACCTTGGTAGTTCGAGCTTGGCTCAAGCCCAAATCACAGGGCAGTTTATCCCTACAAATCAACAATCCACTGTGGTTGGGGATCTTGGAGCATTACCAGTTATATCAATTTCCCGTGCTCCATCCCCCGGGAGCGTAGTCACCAGCGGTAATCAAAGTCAAGCCGTTTCGGTCAAGAATAGGTACCTTATATCCCACTTCCCTCCAACATCTATAGGAAATACAAATAAGAATGGTCCTGACGCTCACACGGTGTTAGCATAAACCCCGCCCTCAAGGCGGCAATCGAACAATACGCTAACGATCTTTCGGACGATGATCGAAATGCCTTTCTTGGAGCAAAGGATATAATACTTGACCTGCAAAGAAAGAATGAAGAGCATTCAAAGCGGAGTATATCCAGGTCCCTCGGGGCACGGGTTGAAAAGGTGCTATTGTGCATGAAGAGTTTTGTGAGATCGGTTTCCATCTGCATTCAGCATCATCCGGATATATCATCCCTCGTTTTGGGTGGTTTTAACTGTGTCCTAACGGTAAATTACTTCTCAATCGCCTAGGGTATGGGGGGTCAGGTGGAAGCGATAGGCACGCTAATTTACTCGTTACGTAGCTTGCATTAGGTTATGTTGAATTCTTTGAGAAATTAACCCACATGATGGATAGGATAGCAGGGCATTTGGGATACTTGGAGAAGTACGGCTCTCCGATTTTCCAGAATTCATTTGATGTCCAGAATGTAAGTTACTCGCGTGAACTGATCTTGATGGTCATGATTGGTGACCAGAAATAGACCCTCAAAGATGCATACTGTGATTTGTTGGATTTCCTAGTGGCAGTTCGGAAGGTATTCACAGAGAAGAACGAGAAGGGTTCATGTGCGTATCCCTCCCGTATTTATAAAGTATTATATATGCGTCGTTGTCTCACAACACTTCCACATATTTTAGATCTTAGCTCCGTATGGCTATTTATGAAGATCAATTGGGAATCGTTTGAATATAAATTCCAGCCTATCGAGGAGCGCTTTGCCCATCATGCTTTGGTGATTGTCAGATCAGCTGGCGTTGAGGCCTTGATTACTAACCTTGAGGCCTCATGTACGAAACAACGAGAAGAAAGGGGCAAGTTATATCTTTAATTTTACTCCATTAATAATTAAATAGTAGATTACACCCCAAGAACTCTTCCCTTATACCAATATCACAATGTCGACTTTTACCTCTTTCAATTATAATAAGCGGCTGATGGTAATATAGATAAAAAACGTCGGGAGGTCTTGAAGTGGTTGTCCAATATCGGGTACGAAAAAACACAACGGAGACATTTTATGAAACACATGAAAGGTACTGGTCAATGGCTTCTAGACGATCCGCTCTTTCTCAATTGGCAGCACTCACAAGAATCAAGTATTCTATGGTGCCACGGTGGTCGTAAGTTATCGGATTCCCCTTGGGCTCTCTCCTGACTGACCAAGTACAATAGCGGGGGCGGGAAAAACTATTTTAGCGTAAGGATCCTGACACCGTATGCTCCAAATTTCTGACACGATATAGTTCCCTAGTTACAGATACATTTTCAAAAATGTGCCCGGCAGGATCTGACATGGCACTATGCTTTCTATTTTGCAATTACAAAGAGGCCGTCGAGCCAGAAACCTATATCCGTACCCTTATCAAGCAGCTTTCCTGTCAGATAAAGGTTCTTCCGTATGAACTTGTGGACTTGTACGACAAGCATTTCAATGATGCCACCGAGCCGTCTATGGCTGAACTCCAGGATGTCTTCGTTGTAATCTCCAACCTATTTCGGCAGACCCTCCTAGTAATAGACGCTCTTGATGAATGTACAAGCCAGCAGAGAGATTGTTTCTATGACTTCCTTCGCCATATCTCTGGTTCGACTGAACAGTCTCGCGGAGTAATAAAGGTTTTCATCACTAGTCGAATGGAAGAGGATATTCGACGCGCCCTTTCCAGCTTCCCGATCGTTCGGATTGAAGCCCGAAAGGTAAACGGGGATATCAGATCATATGTGGAAGATCAGCTGGTCCAGCGTCTGCTTGATGGCAGATTGCGGCTAAAAGATCTTTCCTTAAAAGATAGGATAGTCGCAGCACTTGTGGATCGTGCCGGTGGAATGTGAGTTACCCTATAAAGTCCAAGGGCTACATCTCGACTGACAATGCTGATTATATCAGGTTCTTGTGGGTCGAGTTCCAACTACACCGTATATGTGCCCAAACATCGGACCATCATATTCAAGCCGCTTTGAACGATCTACCAGAAGGCATGGACGAAACATATCGCAGGATCTTGACTCTCATACAGAGTAAGCCTAAGGCCGAACAGCGTCTAGCACGAAGAGTACTCATGTGGATTGCCTATGCTACTGAACCACTTGATGTCTGTGACTTGAGGTCGTTTGTTGCAATGGAAAGTACCACTAGATCATACAAGGAGCTAGTGAGCATGATTCCTGATGAGGAAAAGGTTCTAGCTGTATGCGCCAACCTCGTTATGGTTGAAGTAACAACTGATGGTTCTGCTCGTAAGGCACGATTTGTGCATTTTTCGGTGCAAGAATTCCTTCTTGCTCATTCAGTGGGCTTTGATAATCAATCGACGATTGGTTTCGACCTTATTGTTGAGCCACAGAGAGCAAATAGCGAGATTGCTACTATGTGTATCGTATTTCTGCTTCATTGCAGAATTAAACTTTATGGTACCTACGGATACCCTCAGCCGATTCACTATACAATCAGAGGTTGGATGTTACATGCTCGGGCACTGAAAGCAATCAGCATAGAGCTGAGGGATCTGATACTCTCTCTCTTTGATTCTGGATTCTTATACGTGCAAGAGGATTATCGTTGTCATAAGGATCCAACAGGTCTCTTGGTCTACTATTCTCACCGAGTTAGTGGTCAGGTCAATTCATTGTTAGACCTGGCATTGGTTTACGAATTACCTTTACTAGTCGAGCATCTTACCAGAACAAACCACTCCCCCCTGTATATACGGACTACCATGCACCTTGCCGCAAAGCTAAATGCTGGCAAGGTCATTGAATACCTTTGCTCTAAGGATTGTGATGTGAACGCGCTCGACCAAGATGGTTATACACCATTATTTTACGCCGGGGGGGAGGAGGCCTGCCAAGCACTCATACGCAACGGAGCCGATTTACACATTGAGGGAGGGGACCTTGGGAATCCACTACATGCAGCAGCAAGTGGTAGGAGAGAAGCCGTTGTAAGGTGTCTGTTAGAAGCAGGCTTCGATGTGAATACTTTTGGTGGTAGTCATGGCTACGCCTTGAATGCTGCAGCACGGCAAGGCCACAAAGGCACCGTGGAGATCTTATTGGAGTTCGGCGCCAATGTTAACGTGAATGGAGGAGGGCAAGGCTCCGCATTGGAAATCGCCTCATATCGCGGTGAATTAGCAGTGGTGGAGCTTTTGTTAGCGCACGGAGCAGATGTCAACGCGGGCTGCGGGAGGTGTGGTTCTGCATTGCAAGCCGCCTCATTGGGCGGTGAATTAGCAGTGGTAGAGCTTTTGTTAGCGCACGGAGCAGATGTCAACGCGGGGGGCGGAGAGTATCGTTCTGCATTGCAAGCCGCCTCATTGGGCGGTGAATTAGCAGTGGTAGAGCTTTTGTTAGCGCACGGAGCAGATGTCAACGCGGGGGGCGGAGAGTATGGTTCTGCTTTGCAAGCCGCCTCATATTGCGGTGTATTAACAGTAGTAAAGCTTTTGTTAACACACGGAGCAGATATCAATACACAGGGTGGGAAGCATGGTTTTGCATTGCACGCCGCAGCCACACCAAGGTACTCGAAAGAATTAGTCAAATATTTACTAGACGAAGGAGCCGATGTCAACGCAACTGGTGGACGGGATGGTTCCGCCTTGCAAGCGGCCGCCAGAAAGGGGAACAAGGAGTGTGTAGAGATACTACTTGCAAACGGAGCGAATGCAAACACACAAGGTGGAAAGTATGGGTCTGCTTTAAAAGCTGCCTCGTCAAAACAATACCACGAGATTGTGAGGATTTTAATTGAGCATGGGGCCTACGACATGCCGGAGACCGAGACCGAGGGATCATCACTAGATACTCTTAGCGTCCAGGATGTTGGTACTGAAGCCAATCCTATACAACAAGCAGTGGATACGGAGTGCGAGCAAGCGGAACAACAGAACTTATCCCCGACCCCCCGAAGAGTTAAAAGAGACTGGAGGCCTTGAAATTTAGACTAGAGACCAATTTCTTAGAGGCAGTAGGTCAGTGGAAACCTGCGTCAATAAACCCGGAAATTTGTACTAATCCGGGTTAACGTAGTATGTCTCCCGATCTGATGTTGAGAGGAAGGGTATTCACTTTCTGTGGTCGCACCCCCCTTGGGAGAGCGATGTTAAACGGAATGAAAATGAAGGAGGAAGCTCGTTGGGTTATTGGTGTAGTTGGATATCATATTGAACTATTTGGAGAATATGTTTGGGGTGTGGGTTGGTATACATGTATTGTTATTTAAAAATAAATCGGAACTTAGTATGAAGAACACTTGACCTCTCTTTTCTATTGCTTGGAGCAATCTAGCCGTTGACGATATCGGGAAAGATGTGCTTTACCCGGCTCTTGGTTCCGGGAAATACACCTCAGGAAAATAAACATCGGGGATTACATTATCTTCTAATAAATATCAAGAGGGCACAAAGCTCTCTCCCCCAATGGCTAACCACATCTCACGCGAGAAGGTTTCTTGCACCAAATCCAGAAATTAGGAAAATCCGAAGTATGGGCCTAAGCTAGACACTTACACCCAACGCCCCGACCCGAAACCACAAAAGGCCATTACCATTACGCCCTCCTTACCCCGGTTGGAATCCAATTGTTACGAAGTCGATATTGATATCATCTTTCCGAAAAACTGCTCCATACAACGCGGGGGCCTTCGCTCAGTCGCGGAAGTGGTTCTTGACGCCAAGAGCATACAGCTCGCTGGCCGTGTCGGGCAGATTATTCGTCAGGCATTAGAAATACAGATACGCGCGGGTTAGGCTGGATAGGCGCCCTGAGGAGGAAACATAGTCCTAGCGCTAGCACTATTTTGTTTAGGTGGCAACCTCTAGCTAGTTTTATTTGCTCGTGTTCTCACTCTCTCTCCTAGTTCACATCATCATCAATATACATGCTTTAGTTGGTTTTAGTCGAACAGTTTTGATTAGTTTCTAAATTCGTATGTATTGTCGTCGAAAAGAGACCGATCACAACAGACCGGCCAACACCGTCCCACGAATTGCAGTGTAGAGGCAGGAATCTACATAATTTATATCCAAGTCATCTGACGAGTTAGCCCACCTTCTTACAGCCTAATTCCAAGACCATTTTGCATATTTCACTGGTTTTATGGCTCTGTCGTTAAAGACTGTCGTCGCTTAGGGTGCGTGGCCTTGGCACCCGGAAAAATAGTTTTCCGGCGATAGCCCGGGAGATCTTCACGTATGGACCATCCCGATTGTGTAGAATTTTCCAGCGGAGGTTTGAAGCTTTTCGCCTGTATATTACTCCGCCCTTATCTGCCCCCCCCCCCCCCCCGCAATTCCGAAGGCTCGGATGTACAAATGCATGGCTATGAGCAAGCAACACCGAAATTCACCGAACATGATCGAACGCGTACCCCTAGAGACAAGTGTCTACGTTTACGGTTTGTATTCGGTAATGTTGAAACACGATCAAATCAACGTTGACTCTACTGACTCCTTAGGGTGAATGTGTCTACACCCTCTCGCGCTTACCTAGATATGGGTAAGAAAGTCTTCCCTCGGTGCACCGGTATCTACTCTCTCATGAACGTGTACATTTCCTATCTGGTGGTAAGCAGATAGATAGCGTACCCCCGGGCGCCTAGTGTTTATATTTTCCACTTCGGAGTAACATCGAGGGTGGTTTGGGTGTGGAGGCAAGATTTTCGCAGGGCAAAATCCACAAAGAGCACCGCCAAAAATACGGAGATGGCGGTCAGAGAATTCATCTACATAGGTATATACATAGTCTAATATCCATCACGCCGGGAGAGTCATTTAACAGACTTCCACGACAGAGCTCACCTGTAGAAACGCGGCCTCCCGCCCTACCATTAGAACCACCCCCTAAAGTATGCACCCCCACTAAAACCAAAAAGGTAAAAACATAAGAGTGGCAGAATAATAGCACTATCGGTCCGCTTACTGTATGTTGTCCCAGCCCATCGAAACCAAAACAAAAGACAACAAAACACGCCGCTCCCACTGGTTGTCGACGGTGTAAAAGAATAATGTGGTTGATCTAATTCTTTTTCTATTTGGGCAAACCGTTTGGTCTAATTAAACCTGTAACCCTAGCCCTGGAGCTAACCCCAACCCATTTGAACCTGGGCTTAGCGACACCCTGTCAATCTGGAGCCCAAATCTGGCATATGATTTAGACTCTTTGATCTACCGTGCCTTGGTTGTGTTTCTGGTGTGTGTGTTCTTTTCTCTTTTCCTTCCCTTTCTTGCTCTTTTTTGGTGCGGGTGGGCGTGGTGATGGACTTCCACCCTCACTACATAGTGTACAATAAGCTATGGAACTAATTGTTATCAATTTTACAACAGTACATAAAATATATTCCATGGGTACTAATCAGCTTACATAAATTCACAACTGCCACCCCGTATTCAGTTTGACCTCCCTGAACCCCTCATCGCCCCCAACGAACCCCTCCAAGAACCCCTCATTGCCATGCCCAGTGGAAGTTGTAGACATATTACTGGAAACTGGCTGTGTACTCTAGATGATAGTTGTACATGTCAATATCCGTAGATTATATCAGATCTTAAACGGGGAAATTTACCTTTTCCAACTCCCCACTTAATATTTCTGCTATTTTTGCCCTCCCCAACTTGATTGCCAACGCCAAACATGTTAGGCCATCAGAATCACGTATTGTGCGGTCAGCTCCTGCTGCAAGAAGTACCCGTAAAGCGGGCTCGTTATCACCGCGCACTGCCGCATGAATCAGAGGTATCGTGAACCCTGAGTTAGGATCAGCACCACTGTCCAAGAGGGCTTTCATAAGATTTTCGCCTCCAAACATCGCCACCCATGTTCGCGTATAGAAATACAGGATTGGTTTGCAGGTCTCGGTCCATTTGGGAATCACATCTCCAAAGAGCTTGGGATCATCTAACTCTAGGAGGTGGTGAAGATACGGAATATCTGATTCTACCCATACTCCCCTTTTGAGACCCTGGAGCCAGTCACTATGCGGGTACCGTGCTCTGTTGTGGAGCAAGTCGTGTTTCATTGGTATCACAATATTGTATATAATGGGTTCCTCGGCCAGCGGCTTATCTGAAAGTTGAAATTCGGTGAACGGTAAAGAGAAGACGGAGGTATTTGAACCAATAGAGAAGGTCGACCACTGTGCTCCACGACGCTGGGATGTGGCCAAGGACATTGTTGAAGGCGCGAGCATATCATGATTGCGGTAAGGGCGGCTGTTTCGAAGTACGGCTGTGAAGGACATTCGTGACCCTACCGACATGATTGATGTTGATTCAGAGCAGCGCACTTGTGGAGTGATCCCTAGATGGGAGGGTAGATGCTCGATGTCAGGTGATGATGAAGGCCCTAAACTAACGGTGGAAGCTGGAGATGTAACCAGTGTCGGGATGGCCTTGGTAACGGTGGTCAGGGTCTCGAGAATGTCATTTAGAGAATCTACCATGCTTTCTGCCTCAGCTGAGGACTCACTGCGTCGGTTGTTAGGCGAGGCTCTGCGGTAGGGCAGTGGATAGGGGATTTTAAAGTGGCCTCACCTCATCCAGATTGTAAGAAGCAGTGTTAAAGTCGTTTTATGTTGCTGGATACGTCTAACGAGGATTGTGAGATTTGAATTCTCCCAATTCCAGCGCAGTCGGCTGTAAACACTCATTTGTCCTGCCGGTAAACGACGCTCCTGTGGTCCAACTAGTTGTTTAACCCGCCTCGGCATTAACTCATCAATTATCCTTTCCAACTGGGAGAAGGTTAAGGTGCAGGAAGCTAGTGTAATCGCTAACTGGGTAGCGTCCGTCGCCATTGCTCCCAGCGGAGTCATTTCGTTCCGTTTCGCTATCCTAGTACGAAGTCGTTTTAACGCGTACTCGAAGTCACGCACTTCCGCGAGGATCTCTTTCGCGCTATCAGGCACATTGGTGTACGTGGATATGAGGGAATCTATATTCTTGTAAACGGTGGCAGCAGCGAGGATAAGACCCACAACCGAGGCTGCAACCTCCATGTCGATGGCCGATCGCGAGATGTTGTGAAAGACTTGGGTACGGAACCCCTCTTCCCTGTTGTCCCGTGTCACCAGGACCGTAACCCCAATCTCAAAGCCTTCGGATTAGTCAAGTGCCAAGAATTGGGAAGTAGAAAGCTAGTCATAAAAGATGTAAGAGAATCAAACTGTAAAGGTTTATTCGATTCTAGAGAATTGGATGAAGGCAGGAGAGGAGTGCATCTCCCCTTTCCTTCCAATTTATGCTCCTCGCTTAGAGTCACCTAATCGTTCATCTCATCCTCCGCCACTGGGTTCTTTTCTTCTTCTACGCGACAGCCATGGCGGCTAGAGCTTAACCTTGTACTACGTGCAAAACCAAAAGCACAGGAAACCGGCACGGCAACAATCACCTCCTCACCCCCGTCCCACCCATATATTGGACTGGGAATTTTCTCAGACACGCCTAGCCCTCCAGGAAAATCAGCGCAGGGAGGAATACCGCCATATCTCGAAAAATTGGCTAGCTTCCAGAGATCAAAATTACTTGGATGGGAAACTTCTGATGCAGATCGATGCTATTCAACCCAAGCACCCGAGCGATAATCCCTGGCCGGGGATAGCCAATTTTTCGAGTTTTGGCGGTATTTGAATCCTTAGCACCACGGATTCTGATAACGAGGCGGGCGTGGTACGCGTGTAGAACCCTAACCCACACAGGGTGTCTCTCTCAACCACCATTGTGATAATTCAACTCTAAATCTATCTAGGCTGCCCTCAACCTTCATCGCTTAAACAATCATAGCGAAGCCGTCGTGTATGTATCCCTCTTCTGATTCGCCATCCATTGAAGTGCGCAGTGTCGGTATCAACCTTGGCGCCAAGGCGTACCGGGTGTTGAGGGTAAGTGATCAAAATCTGGTAAGTGGATATTGCGGTGAATACGTGTATTTGTCTTATCACTTTTCGCTACACCCTAATACATGCTGGGGACGGATGCTGCCCCATTTCATGGTTGCTGCATATTCACGGTCACCGATTCAAGGGGAGACAGCCGAAATAAAAACATAGCAATAAATACAGCAGCGGAATAACGGTATATGGTAGTTGCCTGGAACTTGTGTCTTTACTGTGTGCCTGTCCTTTTCTGCAAAGTCAGGGAAGATGGTGACGCAGGAGGACTCCTCCCAAACACCGCGACTCAATCCGCCAGGTTCCCACTCCGGTTCGGATGCCGGTACTCGAGGGCGGCGGCGAAACACGGTGCTAGGTGGCCACACCAGCCTACACCAGTCCACCCGGAATACGCAGTCTAGGTCGTATCCCGAACTCCAACCCCCGACAGACATCCCCGGAATTGTTGAGCTACATACAGATTCTCACGACACATTTGACGCGCTGTGATTCACTCGCAAGCACCACCAGGTATCCATAACAGTACTCCCGAGACCCTCCCCGGTCAGTGGATAGCTTCGGGATCGAGAGATACGGCTATGCGGGGGTGACATACAGGGCTGCGTAGCTGGAGGGAGGCGGTGGGGGTTTTAAGACGTTTCTGTGTGCAGTTTAAACCTTTCGTTTCTCAAATCGTGGAGATATAAAACATGGGGAATGGGGTGGGGGGTGGGGTGTCCAGTCCAAGGGGGTGGATCGAGGGGCGGCGGAGGTGAGCGAGCACCCGCTCTCCCCAAAAGCTGCTCTATTCTCCATGCGTACTTACTGAAACCCTTACCTCCGGGTACTAGGCTGTGGGTGTGATGTCTCCGCTGCTTTCCGGAGAAATCGCTTGCTAGGTTGGAATTGTGATCCAAGAAGATGTGGGATAACGTGGGCGGAGAACCACGATTTTGGCAGAGATATGGGATCGCCTCCTGGGAATAATTGCTGTGGGGTTTCCCTGCGGCTTGTTGGATCTTTCGGAGGCATGGCGTCCGAGATTTTGGAGCTATTGTTACTGTAGGGAACTGGGAAGGTATCAACAACTCACCACCTCTCAACCAACCCAGAGGCCCACAACCAATTACAACACGACGCACAGCTATGATACCATGACATCAATCCTGACCTCGGGACAAATCACACAACCAACACCCCCCGGAGACACAGAAGAACCTCCGGAACGCTCCGGACGACACCCCCGGATTTCTGGGGGGGGTTTTTTTTTTTGGTTTAATTCATTAATTGCATGAACGGATTTCTGGGTTGATAGCATGAGATGAAGAAGTCAGTTACAGAACTCTAGGAGTTTCCCGGTGGTGTTCCCGTACAGGACGAGACGAGTCGTGGTTTACAACTGCCAGTTGGTTGCGCTGGTTTGCAGGCACAGGACCGGATTACTGATGCAATTGGCTTCATTGACCTTTCGATGTGAGTTCCATGGATAACCAGACTCAATGGGTGAGTAGATGTTATTTCCGGCGGTAGGAAACGTTTTTGTCTTAGTACCAAGTTGTCATCCGATGTTCTGATCACAGCAAGTCATCCGTCACGCTCGAATCATGACACATCACTCGCCCAATCGCAAGATATCAAGACAACAACAGGTAATTCATCTGTCGCGCCTTCTTCATATATCCTCACCAGTGATCTACATCACAAATAGACACACGCCGGGCAGTCATCTATTCCAACATTTATCAAATCAACGTCACATCACCTCCGGTTTCAACCACCAGGAATCATCCAAGATCCCCAAAGCACAGCTACTCACCCGTTACACCCCCCGTTGTCTACAACCACCGGCTCCCCTCATCATAATAAATCATCCGAAACACAATCACCCATCAAACCTGGTCAAGAAATATCACTCCAATTCCAACCACCACTTGCTCACCTGATCTTGGCTCATAATCCATCCCATCACCGTGATCTCAGCGCCACGTGCCCTCACTCGAGACGGCAAATACAGCTTGTCACTCGTTTCCTTACTTGAAGCACCAATGAGTCCATTGGTGCTCCTTGGTTGATATCTTTGTTGACCACTAGCAGACATTACTAGCGCGGCTACAACTGCACCAACCTCCGATTAATGACATCTATCTATACACTCACCACTCCCCCCCGGCGCAATAGGAAAAACTCTCCCTCCCCAATTCTACCCCACCGGCAGACTATATACTCCATCTTCGCTCTTGTCTCCCGTCGTCAATCACAAACCCCACTCGCGCCTTGGCGTCACGTGCACTGTTCGGTTTGGGGCATGAGATCTCACTCGGCGTTGCAGACAGAAAGACCCACGGAGATCCTCCCTGAAGAACACACACCTCTAGAAACTTGTCCATTTACACTGTTAACGAGCACATTCCAGAGAACCGCCAAGCCAAGTCCCGCGCCGCATGCCACAGCCGGTGGGGATGTAGTAAATATAGAAGCCGCGCGGCGGAAGGTGTTGCTGGCCGATTATGTAAGGCGTCGGGAATGTTGGGTTGCGCTGGACTGGGTCGGGTGGTGGAGGAGTGGTGATTGTGGTGTTGTGGTTGTGTTTGGTGTAGGTGGGTTGTGTACCCGGGGGTGGGGGTGGGGATATGGGAAAGTGTATATAAACTTCTGAGTAGCTATGTAGTTGGACTCGGACTCGGACTCGGGTTGAGGGAATGGGTTCGCAGAGGCTACGGAATCACACTGCGACACCGATACTTCACTGATCTTCCTCCGTCTGACACCTCCGGGGGAGAGAGAATTCTCGGAAGTGTCGGCCTGTGGGCTTTCTCCTCGTCACCCTTCCTCAAGTCTGCATGCCACAGATTGCACGGGAAAAACGACGCCTTGAAATACGTGGTGTTCCGAGCGAGGTGAGCCTGCCGCTCGGTCGGGTTGTGGAGGAATAAAGGGGAATGAACAAACCTCCGGGCCCGGTGAGAGGCCCAGCAGCACACCACCCGCCAGCCACAGCCACAGAGCAATAGCCATAGCCGCGACAGGCCACATACCAGACTTAGGGGTGAAGAATAGAGATTATATTACAGCATTTATCTCCCCTCTTCTCTTCTTCCGTTTCAGTCACCCAGCGTCATCAAACCATCATCAAACTCCTTTAAACAACATCAGGCCGGACCTGTACCCACATTCTTTTACGACCAGTCCCAACCCACACAACGCACCACACACATACACACACACCCACGCCACAAAACCATACAACCATGCAGCTCCCCCTCCTCCTACTGCTAGCCCTCACAGGCATGCCGGCCACCGCCACCGTCAGCGCCCATGCCCTCCCCACCGAAAACATCGCCAGCATCACCCCCCGCTCCCACCCCTACCCCGCCACCGCGCCCTCCACCACGCCCATACTCCACCGCCGCAGCCCTGCCCCCGCGCCAGCACCCACCTCCCGCAAGCTTGCCGCCCGTGCACCATCGCGGAGGCCCTCCCGAAGCAGCGGCCAAGCCTTGCCACCACGCGCACGGCAGCGCACCGCATCGCGCCGCGTCAGAACAATGAGCACGCGTCGCCCGCGACGGAAGCAGAAGGCGGCGGGGATGGTGGGGCCGGAGATGAGGGGGTTGGGGATGTCGGGGCCGGGGGCTGGGGGGAGTGGCAGGAGTAGGGGGCCAAAAGGGTGCCGGAATTGTAGAGGCCCGAGGTGAGAGGAAGCGACAGTTATCGCGGCTAGATGAAGGGGTGTGGGGATGATTATGGGAAGGGGAGGGGAGGATGGAGAGTGTGGCGGGTGGGTGGGATATGTAGCTGTAGTTATGTATGTGTGTGGTGGATAAAATTGAGCTTGCTGTTAAATGATGTCTTCAGTCTCACAAGGCCGGAGGATGTACAAGTAGCTTCAGGGAGGTTATGTGATGAGATAGGATGTGCTAGAGACAAGGGATGCAATCCTCCGACTACGTATATAGCGGGAGCAGAGATATTCGGGTAAAGATCATTTCTGAGTTATCTGTCAATGCACCAGGGTCTCCGGTGGTTAATTTACCGACTACCTGGTTTAAACTATTTGCACTAAACAGTTTAAATAAATAGTTGATAGGGTTCTTACCTCCTCAAGTAAACTGTTACGGGCATCGTGGGAATACGGGCAACTCGAGGTGATAGGAAAGTGGCCCGGGCAAGATAGGAATATTCCTAGGTGGCGTTGCAGATTGCTGAGGCGCCGAAGTTCCAAAGTGGCCCATTCACTTCGGAATATACTCTCGTGATGCAATTGTTTCCTGGGTTGCTCTTGTAAAGTTCTTATTTCCGCATCGGATTATCGTGCAGGTTTAAATCTCATACACTTCATCTTGGTGTGGGCCCCCCCCCCCGAATGTAGAAGGAGAGACCTCACGAAAAATATATTTTTTGATAAAACGAGTAAGGTTGGACCGGTTTTCTTTCTCTTTTACCTCTGTCTAGTGATTTAGCACTATCGCCATAATCCCATAACTTAAGTAGAGATAAATTGAGTACCTGAACTTAGTCCAGCAATGATCACATCACTCTTCATATCCCTTAGTGAACAGGCCACCCTAGGAATTTGGGCACCTGGGGGAGAACGGGGGCCACTTAGGAAGACCCCCATTCTGCCCGGGCCATTTTCTTATCACCTCGAATCCCCCGTATACCCACATGGCTCGTAACAGCTACCTACAAGAACCTGAAACCACGGTCTATCGGCCAAACCGATTCAAATAGACAAGATGAAGAGTTGGTGCAGTTGATAAGGCTTCACAGTAGATATTAGCAGTTCGTACAGTTTTATCTATATTCTGAACCTGTTTGTACCGTTGGAACCAGACATCGCAATAGATAGCATCCAACCCGGGTATCACCAGGATAGCACCCGGCGGGTGTGGGTTGGGTACGTCTTTTTTTCAACAGGTCGGGCCGGGTGTGGCCTAACCTTTGACCCGGGTATACCCAGACATTTCACACGTGCGAAAAAGGCACTTCACAATTAAAAAGAAGTAATATATCTCAAATCCCAACTATAGTAGTTTTCAAATATGTCCGAAATTATATGAAAGAAATAGTATACACCGAGATTTATACTCATATAAGAGGCGGGTTTACTCGGGTAAATCACCCATGGGTTGGGCCGGGTTGGGTACACATCTTCTGAGGCCGGGTCGGGTTGGGTACAGACTCTTTTAATAGCCGGGTGTACCCATTGAAATGTCTGGTTGGAACCCCTGCCGCGCACTACTCTGGCCTTGTTTCTCCGGAAAATAGAGTTTATAGAGAGATTTCGTTCAGTCGCAAGATGACTACCAGAGCCATGATGTGACAGGATTCATTGACAAGACAGAATACGTGCACGATTTACCCCCCCTCCCCCGCTCCTCGCTCCTCATCATTATAACTCCTCATCATCCGCACCCCGTTATAATTGCGAACCATCTTCGCCATCTGCAAGGGCGTAAGCCCATTCCCGCCCAACAACCGCCTATTCGCGCCCCAGTGGAGCAGCTGGGTGACCATGAACCCGGTGCTATGAGGATGCAACATACACTCATGCAGTGGCGACCACCCCATCCCCTCGCCATCCCCCAATTCATTCACGTTGGCCCACGCCTCCAGCAACATTTCTAGTGCCTCCATCTTCCGCTCCCTCACCGTCACTTGCAGTGGCGTCGCCCCCATTCTCGGCCCACCACTTACCCACCCCGCCTCAATCAACACACCCACAATCTCCGGTCGCTCACGCACCGCATAACAAATCGCATCTTCACCCCCCCCTCTCCACCGTCCCCCCCGCCCCCAGTGATCAGCACCTGCACCGACTCCTTACACCCACCCCGCAGCGCATGGTACAGCGCTGTCCGCCCCCGGTAGTGCATACAACCCACCTGTGCCCCTGCGTGTAGGAGCACATCGGACATTCCGCAGCGTTCCGCCCCGCAGCGTAGTGCAGCGGCGGCGCATGTGGATAGGGTTGCTTCTTGACGCTGTAGTCGGGGCGAGCGGCAAACAGCGCGGATAGCAGCCCAGCACGTTGCAGCTAGATTATAAGCGCCATATGCTCGGGCGTGAAGGTGGCCCCGATATCGAGCCCGTGGGTGAAGTTTGTTGGGGAGTTGCGGCGGAGGGACCATAGCATGACGTGCTCTCCGGGCTGCGGGATTGAGTTGGTGAGCTGGTGCAGCCGCAGGTGGTAGAGAGGGTGATTGCGCAGGCGGGGTTGGAGGAGGGTGCAGATAGGGAGGAAGGATGCGATCTGCGGGAGGAGCTCGGAGAGGAGGGAGAGGAGCGTGGTGCGAGGTGGGGGGGCGGGCGGGGGACTTGGGCAGTGGGAGCTGGGGGGGGTAGAAGAGGTGGAGGAGGGAGAAGGGGGCTTCCAGGATGTGGCGGGGGTAGGGGGAGAGGTCCAAGAGCTGGAGGAGGGAGGTGGTAGAGAGGGCGAAGGGGTTGATGATGCGGTGGGGGTACACCGGGGGTGTTGGTGGTAGTGGGGAGGATGCAGAATGGCGAGCGCTGGATGGAAGAGGAGGCAAAAGCGTTTTGGATAGTTCAATCTGGGCGAAGACATTCGGGCGGGCGTGATTTTCTGGTCAGTGGATGTTGTTTGTTGGTCGGTGAAGGTTGGCATCGGGCGATGGTTTTCACAGCCTTGTATTGTTCACACAGATGGAATCGCAGACCGGTTTCCAATGTGGCTGGGTACGTGGCCTGCTGTGCGGCCATTGATGAAAATGGGTCCATCATTCCCCGAGGCCACTAGCTATAAACAACATTCAGGTGGCCAGAGCTTTGAACCGTTCAAACAAATTTTGATTTTGCACCAAGGCTTGACTGGACACGACCGAAATGAATCAAAATGGCGGAGAACTGAACCGACCGACGGTTCATATTGTAGGGTGCTTGTGAGGTCTTGGAAGGCAGGGTTTCTAGCGGTTTACCCGGTATCTGGTTTAAATTGGTTTAACTGAACTGTTTAACCTAATATTTGGTGCAGTTTGTATCTCCCCGAATACATGGTGTTGACAGCCTAGAAACCCGCAAACCCGCCTATACCTACGGTTTCAATGGTTTGTGTACAACTCATGTTCCTGAGCTTGACACCCCAGTTCCTGAGCTCGAACACGTCACTTTCAAAGCTCTAACAAGCTGTTGGAGAACATGAAAGTTATTTCTAGGACTGTTATATGGTTCGAACGCCAAGACACAAACCACAGTTTAAGCAGTTAAACCCGTACAAACTGTGGGCTAGTACACTTTGAGCTCCTTGATTTAGTAGTCAGTGTGGTTTTGTCCTATATCACAACCAGTTTCTACCGTTGGAAACCCTGACCCTTATACGGGACGTGTCGACATTTGCGAAACGATTGGTTGATAGATCTATTCCTAGACAGAGGCCCTCTTTATCAACCTACGGGCCCAAACAAAAACCGCATTTCCACAGCTGTCATACCCCGTCATATAGATGTCTGTCAGTGTCATATTGACGTCCTTCTGATATTTCCATCGGTGTTGATGATCAGCGGGATCAGCAAGATCTACAAGATCGACGCCCCTCTGTTGGGGAGCGGTGATTTTTCTTTTTGCTAATGGGACGGCGCTGGTTGGGATAGAGCCCTGATACATTCAATCTGACGGTTCTTCGTTCATCGAACTGTTTGGTAGGCAGACATGGAAAAAATAGTACCCCGTCATCACTTCTGCACGTCATTAACCCTTAAATTCTACATTTCCTATAAGGGTAATCCATACAATCCAAACTTTACAATCCCTATGGTAGGTACCGCTGTAGAGGTTATTCTATCATTTACCCTTAATTTCACATACGACAATAAAATGTAGCCCACCAACTCGCCCCCCTATCTGGCGTGAACCCTTATATAGGCTACCCTGATAAGGAGATCCGACTGTACCGACAAGTCTTCAACTTCGCCACCGCCGCCGAATTCACCTCCTTCATCGCCAGGTGCAACGGTGTGATCCCCATTTGCCCCGTGTAGATCCGGAGATACCAGCCCACCGCACTCAGCACGTCAATATTCGCGCCCTGCTGGATTAGTATGTCCATCATATCCTCCCTCCCCTGATGTAGCACGCACTCATGCAACGGCGGCCACCCCTCCCACTTGCCATCCCCAACTTCATCCACCGCCGCCCACGCCTCCAGCAGCTCCTTCAGCACCTCCACATTCCCCACCCGCACCACCACCTGCAATAGTGTTATCCTAGTTCTCACCCAACCCCCCCTCCGTCCTCACACTCGGCGTCCGGAAGCCCTTCGGGCCACCACTTGCCCACCCCATCTCAGCTAACGTGCCCACCATCCCGGGCCTCTCGCGCACCATGTAACACATCAGGTCCTCATCGCAGGCCCTCAGCACCCTCTGCGCCCCCGCCGCAATCAGCATTTTCACTATCTCCTTGGACCCGCCGCGCAGCGTGTAATCCAGCGCCGTGTACCCGGCCTTGTCCAGAAGGTCCACCTTTGCCCCCGCGCGCAGCAGTATACCCATACATCCCACACAGTTCTGTGTCGCGGCGTGGTGCAGCAGCGGCAGCTGATGGCATGTTGATGGGTAGTTTGGGCGCGAGGCAAACAGATCGTACAGCAGCGAAGGATGGTGCAGTGTGATGATAAGCGTCATGTTCTCGTCCCCGAAGGGGTGCCGGGAACAAGGCGGCGGGAGAGCATCAAGACCTGGTCTCTGTACTGTGGGAGTGCTTTGTTGAGTTGGTGGTGGAGGAGGGAGCGGAGATAGCGGTTGCGGACATAGAGGTTTAAGTGTTTGCGGACAGGGAGAAGGGAGGCGATGTCGAGGAGGATCCCGGGAGAGAGGGAGAGAAGCTTAGAGGGTGGGGGGACGGCGGCGGGGAGGCACGCGGGATGGGAGGGAGGGCCATCGAGGACAGGGAGAAGGGAGATGGTGGTGGGGTTGGTGATGTGATAGGAAGGTACCGGAGGTGTCGGTGCTGTGTCGTACCCAGCCAAACTCCTTGGCACCAATGTTCGTACCTCACGCAGCTTCTTCGGAGTTAGTATGGAACTAAAATACCCCCAGATAACAATGCCAACAGTAAATTATTCAACTCCTCTCTGGCCTATGTCTTAAAAAATATTGGCGTTTCAGTGGTCAGAAAGTGGGTATCAAAATATGTTTCTGGAATACCATGCATTTCCTTACTTCTCATGTCGGAGTTAAAATTACCTTTCCGGATGCCTTTTGGTGCATGTTCTGGAATTCAGTTCTCAATTCGATATTTGCCAAAAATACAAAATAATTTACATGGAAAAGACAGAAAACTCCATCTAAATACTCTCCTACTACTAATTGTAAGACGGAAAATATTATCTTATTCCAAATTATGTGTTTTTAAATCGGGGTTCTTAAAAAGCCCCCAGGATTACATATATGTATTCATGGGTTGACGCAGCGGAACCGCAACAAAAAACCTGAATCACCCGAATCCCCAACCAAATCTCACCCACACAATTAGGATCCCTTATAAACCAGACTATCTATGATGGAAGTGCACACACGATTTTTGATCAATGAGCACACCTGATTATTGACCAATCAGAATTATGGAAAGTCTGGGCACGAGAGAGGTGTCGCTGGTCGCGGGGCGGTTGTAAAAGAGCGGGCGGCGAGTAGTGGATGATCCATAGAGCGCTTTCGAGACTTATATCTTGGCCAACACATTGCGATGGGTTTATGTTTCTGGAACTCAGTGTATGTAGTTGGTTGGACCTCAGTGGAGGTTGGCGTCTAGAGCCATGTGTTGGTCACAGATGAAGCCACAATCCGGTTTCGAATGTGGCTGGGTAGGTGGCTTACTGCGTGGCCTGATGCACGATTGATGAAAATGTGTGCAATAAACAACGTACAGGCCGGAATTTCGAACAAATGTAAAACTTCTAATTTTCCACCAACCCTCGGTTGGACTGGAGGGACATGAACAATAATGGATGAAAGCTGAACCCACCGACGGTTCATATCGCAGAGCGCTTATGAGGTCTTGTAAGGAATCGTTCAGGAATTTTTAATCAAAGATGTTCTGGGCTACGGTCTCTCAACCCCTTTCGCCCAAGCCTCAAACCGATCTAAACCAAATCATGGGAAGGCGAAACTGAACCGAATATTCTTTCCCAACAGTTGTAAAGAACCGGTTTGCCCCAGCAAACCGAGGAACCCCTAGAAAAACTAGCACTACTACGACCGTATATCAATCTTCGGATCCCTCCACTGTTAATAAAATAATACTCAACAACTCCGAGGGTGCTATTATTCCCACTGTACGATTAGCATGGAACAAGAAGTAGACACACAGAGTGGCCATATACGCACATTGTAAAGCCCTGGGAGCGTACCCGATGATTCATTTGTACCCTGAGAGTCCTCAATACACACAAACCGCCATCCAGACACAACTGTGCCCTCTCAAACATAGCCATCCCATCCAAACTTCACCCACCACCCCCGCCCGCGGCAAGCACAAACCTACATCGTACCGGCAGAAATAGGGCAATACCACCTACCCCCCCCGCTCTCCGTAACCCTTGTGAGCGTGTCACGTGATGCCTATCATTCGTGGGGTGTGTTCATTCCATACCGAGCGCGGGGAATGTCGTGGGATGGCCGGCGGGAGGAAAGCGGCCGAGTGCGGAATCTGCGCGGGCGGTGGCGAGAGATATGGAAGCCGCGAGTGACGGATGGGCTCTTTTGCCTTCTGGGGAGCGGAGGGGAAGGGCGTGTGTGGGCGATTGTGTGTGGTTGTGTGCTTAGTAATTATGTGCGAGCTAAGGGGTAAAGGGATGGATTAGTGATGGTGCACGGTTTCGGCGGGAGGGATAACCGATACTCAGAATCCTCTGTGTGGATTACATAAGTCCAAGTCTGGGCTGACTGGAAAAGTGCCCAGCCACATACAGGGAACACTAGCCCGGAATCGAGTGTGGCAGCTTCTGCGCCAAGACGTTGAGCATGGGACGGTGTCCCGATGGCAGCACCGGCATATCACAACGAACTTTACGGTCCGCCACAGGGGGTGCGGGGATCTGTCCGGCTGGTTATTTCAGTCGCTAGCGAGTTGTGTCTGGCGCGGGGCTGCCCCTCTAGGGTGGCATATGTGTGCTCGAGATTTGTTGGTAAAAGCGGTGAACGATCCCCGGATGCCTTTTTTTTCTTTGTTCAATTGATATCCCCGGAGGTCTATATGGGTATACCAAACTGGGATCTCTCTTGGTAGGATAATGGCCATCAGCGGACTCTGAGGTTCCGCTCTTGATCTGGCTCCTTGATGGATGGAGTTCTTTTAAAATGTTTCGTGAGTAAAGTAGTCCATCCAAGAAGTGAAATATATACCACAATTGCCAAGTTTAGGTCTGTAAAACGACGGCTGACGGTGTGTAAGAGGTATTTCAGATCAAGTATCGTTTCTGATGGTGCGGTTAGGAGGCTCGGTGGAATGGACATCCTTAAATGCTCTACCAGCGTGTCAAAGAGGACACCCGTAACTCTGATTGAACACATTGCTATAACTACAAAGAGGTCCGCAGAGGCTCATGGCGCACTTTTATCATTTTCAATACACTACTTGAGCGGTCTAGAAATCGTCAGGGCCTTTTATGCCGATTATCTAAACCATATATATAACCCATGTTTATGTACACCCCGCTAAGTCAGCCGGGGGAGCGAACTGTTCGAGAAAAGAGATTACCACCTGGTTTCCGGAAACCTATTACGCTGATCGTATTATTCTAGCAACGACGAACACGTTTCAGTCAAGAATAGCCTGCTATTAACTGTCTTTTCCGCCAGCAGGAAACCACATCTCTATACCCGATGAAACCACGTTACCCCCACCCTACGACCCCATCACCTCTCCTCCCCGTGACCCCGCCCCCTCACTCCATACCCTCCCACAACCATGCCCCCAATCCCCTCCAACACTCCCATCCACCACACCATCCACGTCCGCCCCCCACCCTGCAAGTTCCTCGCCGGTCCCTGTTTCTGCACGCACCCCGCCACCCCTTCACCCCCACCATCCCGTAATGCAATGGCCCCCACATATACCTACACCCCAGACAGCAACGTCCAAGGTAGCAAAGCTGCCAACCACATCCCCGGCGACCTCCCCATCCTGCGGTCACCTATGCGCCCCACGCGCGGCAGCAACTGGCGGGACCAGGTGCGGCGGCAGGTGGCATATGGGCAGGCTGCAGCTCAGGGATCGGGATCGGGATCGTGGGACGAGGTGATGGGTGATGTGTCTTCGCGTATGATGGGCGGGGAGAGGGTGATGCGGAGACGGGTACGGGTGGTGCCGCGTGATATTGGTACTCAGGGGAAAGGGGTGACTGTGGGTAGTGGTGGCGGTGGTAGAAAGGAGGTGGTGGGGCGTGATGAAGCGGGTGCGATGTGGGTGGATGGGTTCTATAAGGTGTCAGCAGCAGTGGAGAAGTATGCGGGGGCAGCGGAGGCTGGGGCGCGGGGTATCAGCAACAACAACGGCAACGGCGGGGGACAGGAACACGAGAGGCAAAATGCGGATAACGGAGATCAGGAACGTACCTCCGGTAGGAGGGAAGAGGCATCGAAACCGACAGACGCCGGGGTGTCTGGGGCCGCGAATAAAGGCTATATATATATCTCCAGCTCGGAGAGCGAGGATGAGGGGGAGTCAAGTCGTGGTGGTATCTGCTCAGGAACTATCTCCCCCGCGCCGAATCCCGGGCGTGAGGATGAGACAGGGAGCATCTTTGACCTCCCGGCCGACTACGTACTACCATCTGGTGCGGAACCAACAGTGAGAGAGAAAACGCAAGCACAAGATGAGAGGACACTGGGGATGATGCGGTTCTTGAAGATGAGGAAGGCGGCGTTATTCAGTGAAGGAGGGTAGGGGGTGCTCTCGTTGCTTTTTTGTGAGGCATGTTGATATATTTGTATGGGGGAGATTGGCGGGTTGCTGTGATTTGACTTTTGTCTTGTAGGGGGAGGCGGTGCGGAGATTGATGATCGTTTCATGTGCTGTGGTATTATCGGTGTTTTAGTGCTTGCTACATATATTCGTTGCTTACTTAGAATTGGCATCCTAGGACAATTGTTTCTGCTATACTCAACTTGCGGTGAAGGGTAACTTAATAGGATTTTTATGGTTACAGGTTCTTGAACAAGGCCAGCCAGCACACAGGAACACCAATCATCCCTCCCTCACCAATCCTTCCATAGAACCTGGCACACCGCTCCCCCCCCCCCAAAAAAAAACATTTCAAGTGAAAATAAAACTGAAAATGAAACCCCAGCATGCAACCCGCCTCTAATCCACAGAGACGCGGTGTCATACCGTAAAAGAGACACTACCTATTCTGTGAGTGACCTCTACTCGAGGTATCCTGGTTCGTATAGTCACCCTCTATCTTTACATAGATGATGCCTCCAAATATCACAGTATTTCAAACGGTACAGGTACCTATCCTAGCCGGGATGGAACGGGCCGACCATAACCGTGGTATACCTCGTTTGCACTAGTTGGTACTAATCACCGATCGTAGCCCCGGCATCCCGGCGGCTTTTGGTGCTCAGCAGGACATTGAGGGCGGCGAATATCGAAAACAGCCAAGCCCCACGAGCGGCCAAACCCACCCGGCGACACCTAACCACGCCAAGATGCCATGATCACGGCACCTCCAGCTCTGTATATAAACAACTCCTCCTTCCTCCCTCTCTCTTTCTTCTTCTCCTCATAGTCGCGCAGACAGGGCAGGCAGCCTCTCCATCGTGCTCCTTGCCTGTTCCACCGTTGCCTCGTACCTTCTTGGGGACATACTAGGCAATGGTGGATCATGCTGGGTTGTAGGAAGTGGGGGGTTGGACTTTCTGATGTTTGTTTTGTTTTGTTTTGTTTGATGTTCTCGGTGGTGCATCGTGCACTATCACTCGCACCCACGGCGGATTTGTTCGTCGATGTTAGATACGAGTCAACGGGCACATGATGCGCGCACGAGCCTGGTAAAAGATATATTGCATGTTTCGAATCGATATGACAAGTCTTCATCTGCAGTGGTGTGCTGGTGGATCGGTGATGCGGCGGTCGAGCCGGAGAATCAGAAGCGATCCCTACTATGCGATAGTAGTAGTTTACCCAGATACCCACTGCATTTTAACACCTCTTTTTCAGAGCTTGGGCTACACCCTCCCAATCGTTGGTTACCTCTGTAACGACCTATAGCCCATACATACGGCAACGACACACAAGGACGCCAATGGGCTGGCCCGGGGTGGATGATAGGGTTGGCCTGGCCCGGCCCATGGTATCCAAATCATGGTCTGGCCCAAGCTAAATAGCGCGGGCCTAGCCCGGGATAAATATTTTTGGCCCAGGCTCCCACAAATTGAGGTGTTCATCACAATGCGAACATTTGTTCTTGAGATCATCGTAGATATGATCAAAAATAGGACAATTTAACCCTCCTCTCATTGTAGAAAATATAAGATGTTGTTTACCTTGCCTCTTATAGTAGAAAATGACTATATACCAAGAAAGAACTACTAACGTTGTGTGAACACCTCGAAGCCCGGGCCTGCTTATTTAGCCCGGGCTGAATATTAGCCTCCGCCTGGCCCGGCCCATCAAACAAAATCTAGGGCCCGGCCTGGGCTGCCCAAAAATAGCACGGGCGGCCCATCTCAACCCACGGCCCGTCGACGTCCCTGTCGACGATACCCTCAACTTGGGAGGACATTCTTGCGCAGCATTTAAAGTTGATAAGTACGCTACTTGCTGTACATCTTGTATTCTATTTCCGGACTCTACCATGAAGGGTGATAGTTCCTACGATTCTGTGTGTTTATGTTGACGTTGTGGCGCTGCATAGTCGGACAGGTCCTTGTGCGTAACACACCCCCGAAACCTAGTGGCTACCCGATGTTTTTGTTTATCCTGCCGAGAACAGGGGGCGCCCCAGGAAGGAATATGAGAACCACAGCGGATATGACTGTGTGTATGAACACAAAATAGTGTTTTTGTTTTTGGCGTGGTGGACTTGGGATCATGAAATCTCACTCGCTCAACATGTTGATTGATTACTTCGGCAACCACAGCAACCAGGTCGGTAAACAGGTTGCAGAGCTTTCGTAATATTTTGTTCCAATGTAGCGAAATAAAGGGTTTCAGGAGGAATAGGTCTTGAAATAGGGCGCTCGGCACGTTTCATAGTATTGGAGGATTGTCATCATTTCATTATAGTATTTGTCATCGGCGTATGACTCACTTTCTTATTAGTCATTCTATTACTCACACATCCATGACTCATTGTATTTCTTTTGTACTACCTCTCATTGGTATAAATACGGGTCATTCCCCCTTAGCTAGAACAACAACACGATCAATTACTTTACTTCTCCTAAATACTTTCTCTAGCTTATGAGCCCGGAGACCACTCACGCTTATACACTCTTCACCATTTTTACCACAAAGTACACTTTCTCGTTTCACTTTCAATCATGTCTGAGAGGAGCATCAAGATTCCCGCACTCCCATGCAAGCTGGATGGTCAAGGCCATTACACTCTATGGAGAGACCTTGCTACCCGCATGTTGAAAGTTCACGATTTGTGGAACTTGGTCAATGGTTCGAGTAAGCGTCCCGTTTTGACAACCACCACCACTACTGTACCTACCACGGCACCACAAGCAGAAGGAAGCGCAGCAGAGGCTGAAGAAGGCGAAGAAGAAACCTCCGACAATGCCGAAGAAATCAGCGCCTGGGACAAAAAGGATAACCTTGCGGTTGTATTCCTTCAATCTAACATCGAATTCGAAGTTATTCTCACGCTTACACCGGCCGACACTGCTCACCACCTCTGGACTCAACTTGAGGACAGATTCGATCGGAAAACCGTCGCCTCCCTCCGCTCGCTCCTTGCTAATGTTGTCACTCTACAGTACACACCCGACAAGGGTATCAAAGAACATCTAACCCAGTTCAATACTCTTTGGTCATCTCTCCTCACTAGGACTAGTAACTCTACGGACAAGGCCAAAGACCCACTCGGTTATCACCTTCACCAAATCGCATTTGTTTCAGGGGCGAAGGCATCCTTCCTACTCCTCTCACTCCGGCACGAATCCCTCGAATCAGTCGCTGACAACCTGCAAACCAAGCCCAACGTCACCTTCGATAACGGTTATGAAAAGCTGTTGGATCTGGACTCACGGCGCAATAACGATGGACAGGCGGCCGGCGAAGCCTACACAATCAGGCGAGGAAACCCAGGACATGGAAACAAAGCCAGGAAGCCACGTAACAAGGAAATAGGAAATCGGGACGTCACATGCACCTGGTGCACCAAGAATGGAGAATATGCGAAAGGCCATACGCACAAAAACTGCCGGAAACTCAAAGAGTTCAGAGACAAGGAGAAGTCCGCTGCATCTGGCAACCTTAACGTCGCATCTGGTACTGTATTTAACACGAAACTAGACCTCTCTTGGATCCCCAATCTTTCTGGCCTTCCCGCACTCGAAGAAACCGACGTATTTACAATCTCGGTTGACTTCAACCTCAACAACTTCTCAGATGACACCTCGGACATCACAATGGAAAACTACTTTGGCTTTATTGCAGGACCTTCCACTTCCGATAACAAGGCATGGATCTTCGACCCTGGTGCAACCAACCACATGACCGGAACGCTGGTTACCGACCCCACTCCCCACACTGGAACAGTTACTGTTGGAGGACGCCGCAAACTCCAGATAACCGGAATTGGCAACGTCACCATCAACGGATCACATGACCTGATCACTCTGCAGAACGTATTCTTGATCCGCGAATTAGGCAACACCAACCTGATGTCTTGGTCTTGCATCGCTAAAAAGGGATTCACAACGATTGGCACGGAGGACGGCTTTACCATCTACAAACCAAACAGCAAGGAAATCATCGGGATCGCTAACGCAAATAGTACTGGTCCTTACATTTTTGAAACCAAAGAACCCTGCGCACACCTCTCTGCCGCCACCAGCTTCTATGACTGGCACCAACGGCTCGGACATCTCCCCGCTTCCTCACTCTCACGACTTCGCACCATGGTCGCCGACACCAAGTCTCTCCCCATATCTGGTCACATGGAAACATGTAAGACATTTGAACTCGCTAAATCAACCAAGTCCCACTTCGCTCCCCTCACCGAACCACTATCCAAACAACTACTGGAACTAATACACTCAGATCTGAGCGGCAAGTTCTCGACTCCTTCTCTGGGCGGTTTCAGTTACTATATCACTTTCATCGACGATTATTCCAGGTACGCTCACCTCTATTTCCTTCAAAAGAAATCAGATGCAGCATCTGCCACAGAACGATATAGCGCATACATGGAAAATCAATTGGACAAACCAGTTAAACGGTTTCGAAGCGACAATAGTGGGGAGTACATCTCCAATGACCTTCAACAATTTTTCGCCTGCAAAGGCATAAAGCATGAATTCACCGTACCTTACTCTCACGAGTCAAAATGAACAGCAGAACGCTTTAATAGGACTATAGCAACAATGGCACGATCCGCCTTGCTCGATCACAGCCTCCCAAAAAATCTATGGGCAGAAGCGATCAACACGATGGTACACGTCAAGAATCGACTCCCACACAAATCACTCCCGCACATGACACCATATGAAGCACTAACTGGAAAGAAACCCTTCATTGGGCACCTCCGATCCTTCGGTGAAACCATGTTCATACACATACCCGTCGAAGCACGACCAGCTGGAACAAAACTGGATGCAAGGGCTATAACGGGACAATTCTGCGGATATGGAGAATCTGAAAAAATCTGTCGGGTCTACATACCATCACAAAGGAAAGTAGTACTCTCTTGTCATTTTAGGTTTAAAGCT